CTTTCTTTCTTTCTTTCTTTCTTTCTTTCTTTCTTTCTTTCTTTCTTCCTTCCTTCCTTCCTTCCTTCCTTCCTTCCCTCCCTCCCTCCCTCCCTCCCTCCCTCCCTCCCTCTTTATTTTTCAGTCAGTATGCAGGAGAAAGTACTGTGAGACTCAGCAAATTGTTCAAAATAGTTGTAACTATAGATGCTTCATGCACAGTATTTTTGAGTGCTTTATTCATTATAAATGCATTCATGAACTCCATTTCCTCCCAGATTTCAAGTAATAATACAGATAATTAAATGAAATTATATGATGGACAGCTTACCAGAAAGGCAGAGAGCATTGGAAAAAGCAAACTTCTCTAAAATGAATTCATCCATTTCTAATTCTGAATTTATCAAGATTTCTCCTCTATGAAGTTTTGACTGCCCTCTACAAAAAAGATATGGATTACATTAGGTTCAGATAACTTGCTGTTCCCCCATCAGTCCCAGCCAGCATTACTATTGTCTAATAGTGACTCAAATGAGTGTTAGAAGAACCAGTATGACTGTGTAATAAAACATGAGCAGGTATCTTCAGTCTGTTCATAAGAATAAAATAAAATAAAATTTAGGAGAACCTGACCCTAATATTGGTCTTATTCCACATGTGAATTTCTGTTCTTTTGTATAAGTGAATTTTTGTTTCTTTTATTGTATCTTTTTTCACTTAAAACCTCAACAGTGTATACTCAATCCACATAAAAGTGGTAATACTTTGTACGGAGTTGAGTACAGTGGATGATGCTCAAGCAGAACACTGATAGTTTGTGGCTGTGTAGTACGGGCCAGTCTTTTAACAACTGAAATATATAGACTGTCCTCAACATACAACTACAATCAGAATCTCAGTCACTGAGTGAAGCAGTCATTAAACGAAATGTCCATGTAACTGCTTCACTCAATAATTGCAACTCGGCATTCCCAATTCCAGTTGTTAAGTTGTTTCCTGGGTCTCTGAGCAGATGGAGTGAAAGAGCTGCCTGTGTGATGGAATGTGCAGCTGGAGAAAGAGGTGGAGGGAATGTCAGCAATAGCTTCCCCGAAACCTCACTAATTTCTTGTTTTACAATGGAATTATCAATATTTTTATGAAGAAGTTTATGAAATACCTAGATGCTATGATACAACTTGTATCTGAAGATATGTTCAGAATATATGTTCTAGAAATAATTATGTGTCAAAATCTCTACCATTATTAACCTGTGGCTTCAATGGAAAACTCTGTGAGTTTATGACATTCGTATACTTACTCTCCTCTTCTATAGCTGATCTCTTCATTTTCCCAGTGAACTAATGCAATTTCATAAGGCTGGATCTCATGTTTTTCCAGCTTTTGAAAAATATTCTTTATCTGGGAAACAGATTGTAAATTAAAGCTGATAGCAAGTTCTGAAGATGCATTACATACATTTAGACCAGCGGTTGCCAACCGGTGCGGCTGTGAGAAAATTTTGGTGGGCCGCAGAGAAATCTCACCCCCAGAGCACCCCCCCCCCCAAAGCAATTAATCCAGGCTGCGCAGAAACACAAGGCTGTGCCGCCCACATGGCCTGTGGAAACCCTCCCCGCCCACTCACTCCTTACCCTGCAAACTTGCCTGCTAAGTTGCTATTTTTCCTTTTTCCGACCATCATCTGTTCTGCTGTGCCGGGAGATTTAGATTAGCTAGGAAGCAGGAAAGGGTTGGATTTCTTGCTTTCCAGCTAGTCTTTAGATCTTCGGCTCTGCTTTTAAGCACAGCCGAATCTCCCTTAGGACTGAAGGTTCTATTATTCAGTGCAGACTCAGGGCAAGCAAATTTGATGTGACAGACTCAGGTAGCCGATGGCAGATAGATAGATCACTGAATGATTCTATGAGCAACTCAATCTGCCTGCCTGCTTTGCCTGATTTTGGGTAAAAATTGCTCTTTTTTAAAATAAAAAATTCAATATTTACATACATGGTGTGTTGTGAGTTAATTTTGTGAGTTTGCTTGCAAGCAAATTTTATGTGACAGACTCAGGTAGCCGATGGCAGATAGATTGATCTCTGAATGAATCTGTGATTCTATGAGCAACTCAATCTGCCTACCTGCTTTTGGGTAAAAGTTGCCCTTTTTTTAATAAAAAAAGCAATATTTACATACATGCTGTGTTGTGAGTTAATTTTGTGAGTTTGCTTGCTAGCAAATATTATGAGTTTGCTTGCAAGCAAATTTTATGTGACAGACTGAGCTAGCTGATGGCAGATAGATAGATCACTGAATGATTCTGTGAGCAACTCAATCTGCCTGCCTGCTTTGCCTGATTTTGGGTAAAAGTTGCTCTTTTTTTTATAAAAAAATCAATATTTATATAAATATTTATAATATTTAAATACAAGCTATGCCCAGCCAGTCACATGACCACCAAACCACACCCACAAATTAGGCCACATCCACAGAACCAGTTAGTGGTCCCTGAGATTTAAAATTATGAGTTTGGTGGTCCCTGAGGTCCAAAAGGTTGGCGACCCCTGATTTAGACTATTGACCAAAATGCTTTCACTCTCTTGTGAGAAGAAAATTGTGTCAACAAGAAATAATAACAAGGAAAACAAAATAATTCCATATTCCAGTTTTTTCCTCACAAGTATTTGTGCAAGGTAGAGAAGTGCTTACAAGGAAGAATTAGCTAGAGGTTGTAAATTTATGCCCATAAACGCCTTCATGCATTTATTTGTTTATAACCCAGGTTATAAGAGCCGTGCTGGCACAGTGATTAGAATGTAGTATTGAAGGCTAATTCTGCTGATTGCCAGGTGTTTGGTCCCGACCGGCTCAAGGTTGACTCAAACTTTCATCCTTCCGAGGTTGGCAAAATGAGGACCCAGATAGTTGGGGGCAATATGCTGACTCTGTAAAATGCTTAGAGAGGGCTGTAAAGCACTATCAAGTGGTATATAAGTCTAAGTGCTATTGTTAGTGCTACTGTATTAAAATTATGAAAGCGGTCTTATTATTTTAGAAAAAAATAATAAGAATTTGTTAAAGAAAATCAGCAAAATCACAAAAATTAAAAAACCTTATTTTCTAGGCATTTTCTTCTTACAAATGCCATCTGATCAAATATTCATGTTACTTTCATGAAGGCAAATTTGGAAATCCTTGTTTCTCAAAACAATATACAGTAAGTTTCCTTCTAGAATCTGGCTGTACTTCTGCATTTCCACAACTTATTGTATATATCATTCCTGATTATTTTACCATGGTGAATATCAAAAAAGTTTTTACTATATTCTCAAAAAATAAATAAATCTGCAGATAGATATAAAACCACTGTGAAATAGTTGGGAAATTATGTAATTTGAATCCTTTGGAAGACAATGGCATCACAAAATAACAATACTAATAAAGCAGATTGGAAAGTTAAATATAAAAATGGTTAATAATCCTGGCTAAATATTTTGCAGAGATAGCATTTCAACATACAAGAAAAAGCTGGGGGTAAGCCACAAAAACCTAATAAATAAAATCCCAAATCAAATATGAACTATTAATCTATATTAAAAATCTGTATCTTCTTTTCTTCCCTTTGTTGTTATGCTGAATATAACTAAGGCTTTCCTACTTTATGAGTTGTTACAAGTTTTGTGCCAACATGTTGATTGAATTAATTGTGACACTTCTGAGTCAGATAGTTTCTTTTGACAGCATACAATCTGCTCTTAGGTTAATAAACCTATTTCTCTTTTTCATTAGAAAGCAGATTGAAATGGACAGGTATGTTAGAATTACTAATCATTAGCAAGGAGAAAATTGTCTTTCATTTTAGATGTCATCTTAGTATTTACCTGGTTTTACAAGGATATTGTTTGGAAATATGCTAACTCAGATTTTTCAAATGACTTTCAGAATGTTAATGATGTTACAGTGATTAACCATGTTACAGTTAATTTCATAAAGTCTGAATAATTGTTACTTTAATTAATAGACTCGGCCTCATTATTCACCTGTTTCCTTCTGAATTAGGATAAAGGTTCCAAAAAATGTAGGACAATTTCACTTTACTTTAATCATCAAAATTTTCTCATTTGATTGTGTTCAGATTAATTAACTAATTTGCTCTTTTATTTCACTCTCTGGAAAGCTGGAAAGCTCTTTCATTTCAACATGCCATATTTCCTATAGCAGGATGCTCTTCCAGCATGTTTTCCTATAGCTGAATGCTGTTACAGCAATGCAATTACATCTTCTGTTTCCAATATATTCAAGGAGATGCCATTTTTTATGTTTGTATCATATTACAGCATTCTAAAAATAAAACTAATAGTCTAATAAAACAGGTTATGTCAGATATATAGTTAACCCTTATCCCACTTCAGAAGGTAATTTATAAATAATTTATTAATATGTTGATTACCCTCATTCATACACCAAAAGTAGTTTACCTCCAGAAACCTGCCTTCTACTTACTGTTTTTTCTTCAACATTCCAAAACACAACAGACCCTTCCCTATAAGAAAAAAAATTACAAATAATGTTAAACTAATGGGTTGTATTTTAAGCTTCAAAAATGCAATTCCTAGAAAGAAGCAATTCCCTTTCCATTCTTGCTTGCCTTTAAATGTTGAACCAGTACACTATTATTAATGTCCAAATGATATTTGTTTTAGTGATACCAAGAATTTTAAAGATTAATATTCAATTGAAATCAGAATCTTTCTTGCTGGGACTAATAGAGAGACAACTGGAAAAGAGTTATGGAAGATTCTTTTTGTATGTGATAATCTGCAGCAAGATTATTATATGCCCAAAGTCAAAAGACTCTGAATTACCTACAATGGAGGAACGTTGGTGAAGATGACAGAATTTGTAGAGGGCAAAATTGATTTGTTTGGTTAGGGATAACTATACTTGTTAGCAACTAGAAACCCCTTATGGACTTTTTTTTGAAAACAGAAAAAAATGAATTTATGATTAATGGGTTTGAGGATTTGAAAGGACGGAATATGGGTAGAAGGGAGCCACAATATAACCATAATGAGAGAGAATAAAATATAAATGCATTTATAATTGCTGTAAACAAGCTTAGAAGCCACTTCTTTATGTAAATATTTTCCTGTCTTACTTAGCTGATCATTTTTCCTTGGTCTTCTTCCTTAGTTCTTAGTTAATTCTGCCTAGTGGAACTCAAATTTCTGAGGATGAAACAGCAGCCTTGTTTCTGGCTATGGATACTTGTTTCATCCTTGTCTTAGTTTCTGCACTACATGTAATTCTCAATTTGACCACAATTGATACCAAAATTTCCATTGCTAAAGAAGCCAGTTAAGCCGGCCCCCCCCCCCCCCCATTTTACAATCGTTTTAGCCACAATTGTTAAGTAAATCACTGTATTTGTTAAGTGAACCATGCAGACATTAAGCAAATCTGGCCATTGATTTTCTTGTCAGAAGCCATCTGAGGAGGTTATAAAAGGGGAGATCACTTGATCCCGGGACAGTGGAACTGTCATAAATACATGACAGTTGCCAAGTGCCCAAAGTTGATCATGTGACCATGGAAATGCTGCAGCAATCATAGGTGTAAAAACTGGCAATAAGTGACTTTTTTTAAAAAGTGCCATTGTAACTTCAAATGACCACTAAATATAGAATGGTGATGACCACTTGTAGTTATTGGTAGGCTTCTTGACTCAATTCCAAGTATTGAAAGAGCCATGGTGGTGCAGTGGTTAGAATGCAGTACTGTAGGCTGATTCTATCCACTGCCAGGAGTTCGATCCTGACCAGTTCAAGGTTGATTCAGTCTTCCAACCTTCTGAGGTTAGTAAAATAAGAAGCCAGATTGTAGGGGGCAATATGCTCACTGTGTAAAACCAGAGAAGGCTGTAAAACACTATGAAGTGGTATATAAGTCCAATTGTTACTGCTATTGGTCATTACCCTTAAAACCCTAAGGAACACAGCATCAAGATTTATCATGGACCAACTTACCAAACAAGATTCTGCCTGTTTGATCCCTACTAGAAGCCCTACCTTCACCGAAGTAGGAGAGGTATGGGTTAGAAGGCAGGTACTCTCAATAAAAGCCACCATAGAAGCTTTTCAAATCTATTTAGCACCAAATCTCCTTGTGTTCTGAAAAGCTCTGAAAACAATTTCTATTTTTTGATTCATTTTTGATTTCCATTTTTGATTCATAGAATTCATAGAATAACTGTGGCCAACCATTTGATTATATTTTGTTGCCTTAATATTTCTGTATGTTTTAATAAGCTTGATCTTTTCTTCTTGTAAATGCCCCAAGACTGTGTGACTGGGGAGTTCTACAAATATTGTAAATAAATAATCATCACTAAAATTCTGAATGACACTGAAGAAATAAATCTGTAATTTTCCTTTAGGTGGAGATGAAACATTTAGCTCACATATGCCACATTATTGGTCTTTACTTACTTGAAGAAAAATATGATCCCCAAATCATGATCTTTGGCTGTCCTTTCTGTGCCAACCACCAAAACATTTGCTGCATCTAGTTTTCAAAAAATCTTATATGAAATTATATTGTAAAAAATAGAAACAATCACATTTAGCATGCACCCTATACCCAAGATAATTTTTTTTATTAAGAATGTCTCTTTCAAATCTAATTGATCTCCTGGTGACTTCATCAATAAGACTATCACTTTTTTTTTTGGTAAAAATGGAATTTTTCCAGGATATTTTATTTTCCCATCTATCTTATGGCCCTCATATTCCCTGTGGGATCCCTTTGAAATATTAAAATGGGACAATCCAGTTTGCTTTCTAAATCCAGACAAGATTAGGTAAAAGCTGCTAACTGGTAAGGTTCTGTGAGCTTTACAACTTATAAATATGAATAAAATTGTGTGCTGTTTGTCACATGCAGTGCAAGCATGTATCAGAGCATGCTGACAATTCCAGTAGTTTCTCAGCAACAGACTATCAGAATAGAAGTGAAGACAGAGAGATATTTGTAATTCCCATATTCTAAATTAAGCTACAAACTTAACATCAGCTGTGGTGGCGCAGTGGTTAGAATGCAGTATTACAGGCTAACTCTGCCCATATCCAGAACTTCGATCCAGATTGGCTCAAGATTGATTCAGTCTTTCACCCTTTGAGGTCAGTACAATGAGGACTGTTGGGGGCTATATGCTGACTCTGTAAACTGAGGAGTGGTATATAAGTTTAAGTGCTATTGCTACAACATGATCATTTATAATTAAACTGAATTAGTTTATATTGATCTTCTAGCATTGATATAATAAATTAACACAAAGTTAATTAGTGACATTTATTATTCAAATTATCACTTCTCACATAGCATTTAATAGAATTACTTTACAATGTGTAATTACCACATTATATCCTTAAACAGTTTTCATTTAAACCCAGTGAGCTTTTTAGTTCCTTAAAAAAGCCCTGATTTGGGAAGGAAGACTAGCCTGAAAGCAGACCATGCACAAACACTTATGTAGATGTACTTCTACACCAATTGTTCACTTTATTTCTTTGAAGTAAATGTTAGCATCTAGGCCACATTACAGCACATACTTAAGTGTCAAGCAACATTTCTATAAAGAAAGTGTACAAAACCTGTTTGATGATGTATATCTGGAAAAGCATCAGTAAACAATAAATGATCTACTTGAAATAACTGTTCAGAGCTCTACCTCTAGGTAATGTGATTTCAACATATCCAGATGAGACCAGGTCAAGGCATAAATTACCAAGATGATAGGCATCTGCTGTTGCAAAGGCTATACATTGCATCACATCCTATGCCAAAAAGAACAGAATTTCTTTTAGAAAACACTTAGTTGCCTCACTCACTTGAACTGCTTTACTAGAGAGTGCTATACAAACTTATTGATAGCATTTTGCCACTAAATGGCTAAAATTCTGCATAGAACAATAGTTATTTTTCAAAAGCCTTACACTTAAAAAGTTTCAAACTTGCTTCACTGATATACGGATAGACAAATATCTCCTCCGGATCTACTGACCAACTTCAAAAACTAGTTCTTTGGAAGATTATGATTTAGAGAAAGATACACGTTTATATATTCATAACAAGCTTACACTACACTATCAATTCTAGGCAGATATAAATTGGCTATCTGCCATTGATGTTAAGATGTTTTGTTAAAGGCCAATAAGATGTGATCCTGTATGGCCTCTTATTCCCTAATTCCCTGTATGGCCTCTTATTCCAACCACAGTCCGCAGCTTGGACCTGGTCTAAAGCCTGCTGGGAACCATGCTGTGCACGAGCAGTTCCACTTGTGCAAGTAGAGGGTTCATATGCAAAACCATCCCCTTTCTCTCCTCCCCCACAGCTGCTGCTGTTCCATGGAGCCAGAAAGGTTGGGGATCACTGCCCTAAAAGATAAGATGAAAGACTCATGTTCAAAAAGAGGTTATTTCTTATTTCACATAATAGTAGACATTGAATTTTATATTCATCAGAGATTTTTTAAAAATTGCCCTATAATGAGATCTTAGATTTGTATTTTATTTTCTACCTAATGATTTTTATTTTCTAGATTGTACCTAAAGATTAACTCTATCTAGCCTTTGCAAAAATAAGATTTTCTCCAGCATTGATTTCCAGCAGGTGGTGCTCCTCTTCAGTAAAAAGAACAAATTTATGTTTCAAAATGCAGTTTTATTTAAGTCAATGTTCTTACCTGGCAAAAGATTTTTTCATGTTGCAGTTTACTCAAAACAACTTATTTCAACCCTGAAATTTTTATTATCACTATGGGGGGGGGGACGACGACCTCATAACAAAATTATATTTACAAAAGCTTTCCCCGCTAAGTTTCAGTGTTCCCTAAAGGCATCTTCATTAGTATCACTGCATCATTAATCATGCAGAGTAATTTAGAAATAATTTTCCATGTCACAATTATGAAAGTGAACGCTATCATAATAGTTACATTCTTAATATGAGATTGTATTATGAATATAAATAGCAGCAATCCATTAGAGTTATATTAATTATTCCAAAGTTATTGGTATAATATACCCTATAATACACACATTCTTTAACCTTAAAGGGATAGAGAATGGAAAATCTTTCAGTGTTAAAACCTTTCAGTGATAAATTCTATTCACTTATTGTACAGAAGTCTTCAACTCTAAGCTATATAAATATAAATGGATTGTTTGTATCTGTCTAGAATTGTCTTCAAATTATTTTTGTTCAAATCATATCAAATTATGTCTAAGAATTCTCCTTCTGTTCAGAAACAAATGACCTGAACTCTCTCCATCAAAAAATAAAACAGAAATAATAGCATGGAGAGCCAATTTAGTGTAGTGATTAAGGCACTTGGCTAGAAACTGGGAGATTGTCAGTTCTTGTCACACCTTTAGATGACATTGATTGATTCTCTCACTTTCAGCTCTAGAAAGGAAACAATGGCAAACCACTGAAATTTGCCAAGGAAACTGCAGGGACTTGTCCAGGCAGCCCCCAGGAATCTACATTGTCTCAAAAGACACACACACACAAACCAACCAAAAAATATATCATGAGGAAAAATAAGTGTATTAAAAAGGAATCAAGTCTCATCACTGTGGCTTGATAGCATCTTTTAGTAGCTCAAAGCATAACTTATTCAGTATGGCATAAAAGCTTGTGGATTACAGACTATTTCATTAGATGCATGAAATGTTGTCATCCTGAGTTCAGATTACCTGAGCTTCAGATGGTAATGGCAGATTAATTCTTGATGGCTGCTTGGTCCTCGACGCTTTTGGTAGACGCTTAACTGGTACAATATCTTGATTTGGTTGAACTTTACTAGGCGATAAAACTGAATAATGTCTATTTGGTGTAAGTATCCTTATATGTTTTAACTTCTGTTTAAAAATTGAAGCTTTAAGAGGATGAAGTTCTCTGGATGAAGGACAAGCATCCATAGTCAAGTAATTAATTCTTTTTGCTGTAGCACCAATAGTAGTTTGTGGACTAAACCAGTTTGAATTGTCCATGCAATTGCTAGTAAAATTAGAAGTTGCCTCTGGGATGCATCGCCTGAGATATCTATTTACTGATAGCAAGTTGTTGCTTGATGCTAAATATCCATAAGTAGGGATGTATCGGCACTGGCTTATTGTATATGAAGATCTAGCCAGGAATCCCAGTAGTTTCAGTGCCATCTTTTCATTGAGACTCAAATAAGATAATTACAGAACATTAATTTTCTAAAGAGGAAAAAAAGTTTACAAAAGAGGTTTGCAGAGCATCTTACAAAAAATAATTAATACAGCCCACATTGTATTTGTAATCTGAGTTTTAAAGAAACCAGCCAAGGAGATAACTATCCACCCTTCAGGGATACAGAGATTCCAGGAATACTGCTTTATTGCAGTAGAGTGTAACAAGAACATCTTGAAAACCTCTCCAAATATATCTTTGTCCCTTCTTATTCTATTAGCGTTCTAGCGTTCTAGGTGCAGTTTCTGAGTTTCTTTTTCATATATGCTTCTGCTGTATGTAGCTGCTTCTCCATACCTTTTCTTAAAGATCTTATTGTATTATATAGATCGGGGTCCCCAACCACCGGTCCACGGACCGGTACCGGTCCGTGGAACAAGTCCTACCGGGCCGCTGGTTTGCTGGGCGCCGCCATCTTGTTTTGATGAAAAAGTGCTTCCGGTGAGCTTTTCCGGGTAGAAAGCTCACCGGAAGCACTTTTTCATCAAAACAAGATGGCGGCGCCCAGCTGATGTCGGTACCGGGCCGTGCCATAAAAAAGGTTGGGGATACCGGGCCGCGGCATAAAAAAGGTTGGGGATCACTGATATAGATCACTTCTACATTCCTTTGGAATAACAATTTCTGTGTTAACCAATTTAATGGACAATTAAGTATCTAATAATTTTAATGGATAATAATTTTATCTAATAATAATTTTATCTAATAATTCACAAACTGAATAACATCTATCAAAGAAGAGATTTATTTCCCTCTATCAACCATACTTCTTTGGAGCATGGCCACCAAAATCCGTGTGCATGCACACTTACATACATATGGTCAGGCAAAATTTCTCAAACAGCCAAGATGAGCCTACCAGATAACATTGTTGCTATAATGCTTTAAAGAGGGGTACTTAGCTTGTTTCAATGCATTTTGTAAAAAACCCTTTTAAATGCTTTGCATACCCTTCTCACTATACTATTCTAAACAAGTTGGAATATATTCTTACATCTCAGGTTCTCAAAACAATGAGTAACATTGAGTAGAAAACATGGAGGGAAGAGCTTCCAGATCTCAAAACATTTGGGAACTTGCTTGGCAAAACAAAGTTTAACATTGCAATTACAATTGTCTCAAATGAAGGAATGGTTTTGATTTGAAATCTGAAGAGATATAGAGAAGATAGAATGAAATTCTAGGGATCAAAACAATGTTACAAAGTCTTGCATTTCTAAGACCTACTATAGACATTCTTTTCTACAGAGGAGCCAGTGTCCTTTAAATAAATGCACGTGTGTGCACATGTAAGATGCAAATGAGTTCTCTTCTTTGTAGGTGACTGGACACATTGAACATGCCAGAATAAAGAACAACCTCAAATGGAGAGAATCTCAAAATTTGGCAGATAATGAAATTTTGTTCTTACTTAAGTTATTTCCAGTATTTTAGGTACAGTTGCACACTTGCATGCAAAAGTTTAGATAACCCTGCTCAAACTGTCTCTTTCAGTGAGTGAATGAAAAAAAAGTTGACAATCTCTACACTGAACAAGCTTGATTGATTGCATATTTACTATTTCTGCGCAGTGTACATAGAAGGTGTAAATATTTGGATACTTTCAGCCAATATTATACAACGCTTCTTTTAGCAGAAATAACAGATTCCAAGTGTTTGCCATGGCTGTATTTTAATTCTTGTTTTTGAAAATTTTCTCTACTCTTAAATAACTAATCTAGCTCAGAAATATTCTCAGATCTCTTTGCACACACTGTATATTGAAATCTTCCTTAAAGTTTGCAACTATACAATTGCACAACTAGAATCCAAAGACCACTCCAAAAATTTTATCTTTCTTTTCTATAAGTACTTCATGGTTGCTTTGGATGTTAAAATCTCTGTACCTGTCAAATTCTGCCCTCTTATTTTGAATAACTGATAATTCTCCTTTGGGATGGAAGTCCAGAGTTTAGGGACAGTGACTGAAAAGTCTTTGCAATTCCAATGAAACAGATCTCAGATGTTGGCAGAATAGAGTACAAGGCTTTTAAAAATTCAGATACCTCAGAGAGGAATGCAATTCTTCAGATAACTTGGCCCAAAGTCAAAATTAAAATTTAAGCATGCTGTGAACTGTCTACAAGTAGTTCCTAATTTATGACCATAACTTAACCCACAGTTTTGATCATAAGTTGTATTGATTGTAAAATGGGCCACCATGTAACTGCACCTGATTTTACCTTTTTTGCAGTGGTTGTTAAGCAAATGCTGTGGTCATAAAGCAAATGCTACTGTCATTAAGTGAATCTATTGTTCTATATGGAGTCATTTTTAACAGAATCAGGAAATAAATACCAGTTTCCCATAAAAAGCGGTATAAATCATAATCACATGACCATGGGGAACTGCAAATAGCCGTAATCTATAAAAATATCTACTTAGAAAATGTCTGTTTCTTTCAAATGTAGATTAAACATAAATCTATTCAAATATACACATGGCAAACAATATAATGTATAATAAAATTATAATATAAAGTTTTAATATACTGTAAATATAAAAGCATGTATGAGAGTGCTAATGATAAAATACAAAGTTATAATATAAAGTTATATAAAATATAAATATAAAAACATTTATGGGACTGCTAACAATATACAGAAAAGTAACATTGGAATGAATGCTTTAAATGCTAGAACCAAGGAAAGAAGTTATGAAAATGAAATCACACATTTATAAGAATGTTAAAAAAACACATTTTTTAAACATAGTACACATGATTTAGCTGGCAAAAATTTTAAATATGGCCATTATGTACTGTATATACTCGAGTATAAGCCTAGTTTTTCAGCCCATTTTTTGTGCTGAAAAAATCCCCCTCGGCTTATACTCGAGTCAGATTCCCCTCTGAAAAAAAAAATGGTGTGGAGTCGCGGCCTCCGGCGGCAGCGACTCCCAACAGCCCCAGCCAGGAAGGGAAAGGCAAAAAGCGCTTTGCCTTTCCCTTCCCGAGGCGGCGGGACTGGGGTCGCTCCGGCGGCAGCGACTCCCAACAGCCCCAGCCGGGAAGGGAAAGGCAAAAAGCGCTTTGCCTTTCCCTTCCCGAGGCGGCGGGACTGGGGCCGTGCCGGCGGTAGTGACTCCTGACTCAGGGGGCCTCCGAGGGAGGGGAAGAGAGTGACTCCTGCCTCCCGCTGTCATCATCATCTTCTTCTTTTGGGTTAGTGAATCAATTAAACCTTTCATGATAGTGAGATCGTTTCCCAAATTAATTATTTTTATTTTTGAAATTTACCAGTAGCTGCTGCATTTCCCACCCTCGGCTTATACTCGAGTCAATAAGTTTTCCCAGTTTTTTTGTGTAAAATTAGGTGCCTCGGCTTATACGGTAACTTGTTTTGGGCACAAAAACTGTATAGATGAATAGTAATAGCATTCTTTCAAAGGGAAAAATAGGAAGAATGGATGGAAAAACTATAGACAAAATTGTTAAGTAATGCTGGAAAGCAATACTTGTAGAATTCCAAATGAAAGGGTGTAGGAAGTGACAATGAGCAACATTTCAAGAGCAGTCTAAATATGCTAGGCATGGGGATGCAGACCATAATTTTTGCTCCTCAGTAGGTTAATGAGAAAATGAGTTTACCATAGATTTACTGTTTTATAGCCAACATAGCCAAGTGACTAATCTTGAACTGTGAAATATTTTGCACAAATGTCCCCAAATGTAAATTGCTAAATTAGGTAAGATTAGTATACCATTCATTCATTCATTCATTCATTCATTCATTCATTCATTCATTCTATATCCCCCATCTCACTTGAATAACTCACAACAAATAAAAAACCAAGACTCAAATAAAAACTAGTTAAAAACAAATATACAAGCATATAAAGGAATCAATAATCACTTAAAAAATAACCATGATGAATAGCAATCCATCCTTGTGTCAGCTCAACACAGGCACTGTACACATTCCCCACCATTGCTGGAATACTAAGCACAGTGGCAAAGTCATATCTTCATGGCCCTCCTGAAGGCTGGGCCAAAGTTTTGGGGAATGGTGTTCAAAAGGACAAGTGCCACAGCAGAAATGCTTTTGGTCATGCTCCTGCTAGGTCAGGGGTGTCAAACAAGGCTGCGGACCAGATCTGGACCGCGGGGTGTCTAGAGTGACGGCCTCCTGCAACTTTCTGCCAGCAAAAAGAACTTATATATAGTATAAGGAATGCTTGAAGCTAGAAGTGTGTTAATGGGGACATCTTATGTTATATGCACCTTTCCACCTGGATGATGCCATGTTGTTGGCTGAAAACTTATGTTACACAGACCGCAAGATCTTATAATAGGTTTAGGTTAAAAGTTGCTACATCTTGTTGAAGTTAAATGCCAATAGTGTTATACCATCTTAATTCAAGGGGATCCATTCCCTTTAACCCATGTTCAGGACCAACATGACCCAAAATATTTCCTTATCTTGTTGATCCTGAGTATGATACAAAAAGTATTTCATAGAAAGTTATCTCATAAACCAAAGCTTTCAATCTCCAATTTTGAAAATTCATTTTGCATATTTCTTCACATCTCTCAAGCACTTCACTTCATCAGTATTTTCTTGATTTAACATATCTACATTCTTCAACTATGGCAGTAAATCATGTGGACTACATACCCATTAAAAAACCCAACTATCTATTTCTCTAATGAGTACTTGGAGCAAAGTAGTAATCTTTGGATTATCTGGATTTGTGGCATTCTGGATTCAGGCCTGGACATAGAATGGAAACAGCACTGGTTATACTCACAGTTAACTTTTGTAGGATGTGTAGGGAGGAGCGTGACCGTCCTTGTATTGCTGGACCTCACAGCAGCCTTCAATCCCGTTACCCATGATTATCCTTTAGTTGTTTTCTTTCTTTCTTTCCTGAGTGGGGCCAATCAATGGTGGTAGGAAAAGAGAGGCTGGACTCTTGGTCTCTGTTATAAAACAGAGTTTTATTCTTTATCCTATCCTGCTCAATATATACATGAAACTGCTGAGGAAGGTCATAATTAATTTCATGGCAAGAGATCATCAATAGTTAGATGAAGCCTGTTATGTATCTCCACCTCCAACTCAATGGGAGATGTGCCAGAAGTTCTCATTTGATGTCTGGATGGGAAAATATGAGCTTAGACTCAACCCAAGGAAGATAGAGTAGCTGTTGATTTGGAAACCTACTGATTGCAAGACAATACGAACCATGATCCTAAAAGGGGCTAGTAAAGAGAGCACTGCTTGCAGTCTTGGGTCCTTCTGGACTTACAACTCCTGCTAAAAGAGCAGATGATCAGGAGGGCCTCAGCTCATTTCAATGCAAACAATTTCTCATGCCCTTTATTATTCTTGAATGGATTATCGTAATTGACTTTACATGGAGCTACCCTTAAAGACAGCTCAGAAACTTCACCTAATTCAAAAACAGTACCTATGTGTTTATTAGGCAATCATGTTACTAACATATCACATCATTGCTGTGAAGCTTCTAATTATTGGTATATTTCTGGATGTAATTCGAAGTGGTGATTATTTTTGCAATTTCACTGGTGCATTTCTGGGAGACGTCTATGGAGCTTTGAAAAAGCACCATTGGACATTTCTGGGAGATGCGGGAGATGCTGTGGGGAAACCCACCCACCCTTGAAAAAAAATGATAGATTCCAATGTCAAGACCTTTTGGAAGCTTGTAAAATGGTGAGTTTTCTGGAGGACTTGTTAATATTATTGCCTGAAATATTATAACTAGCATTTGTTTTAATTAGTACATGTACACAGCTACAGTTAGAACCAATGCAGTAATGAATTGCACTAATGAATAAATAAGTTAATTGAGTTATTCCACACGCAAATGATCTACTCTTATTCTGGATCAAAGTTTGAAAGCAATAAAGAACTAGATAAGGACCACTAAGTGTTAAAATATATCTCAACAAGACCGAAGTCCTAAAGCTGATTTGTTATTAAGTACAGGGATTGGGTAATCATATTGTTTTGAATCATATTGTTTTGTAAAGAATATTTTACAAAAACCTGAACATGTTCTTAGAATTAGGCCTTTTTTTGTTGTTCCATTAATAGAAGAGTGCAACTGAATAAGGCCAGAAAATAGATTCTTCTTAGTTGAGCAATCCAGAAAGTTGAAGGGTTCCTCTAAAAACATTCCGTTGCCAAGTCACAGACCACTCAGTAAAAAGTCTAAATTTTATTAGATCTGAGGATCTACTTTAAGAACCTATCTATGGTATCTAGGTGGTCCAATATTACAGAGTTTTAACTTAATCTGCCACATGTTTTCATAAAAAAAAAAAAAAAAGCTACGTGAAAGTAAACTAATAGTTTAAACTGCCTGCATTCTGAAACAATTTCAAGAATTGTTGGATGCAGACCCCCTGGGAGTAACATAATAACCTACAAAACATAGCGGGGCTGCACTGTATTAATATAGCTACAAGTAGTATACCTAACAGCGTATCATCTTATTTTCTCTCCAAACTCAACATTTGAAGGGAAGCTCGATTAAGTCCCATCCAGACCTCTGCCCAAACCATCCAACTGGGTTCTCACTTAGTTCACAGGCAAAAGAATGTAGAGCCGTAATTTGATGCTCAAAACCGTCATTTGCTCACATGTCTTGTCAACTGCAGGTAGAAAGTGAATCCTCAAAACATCAGGACACCGGCTTGCCTATTACCTTTGTGTGGTCCATCAGTTTGCGCTGACGACATAAATACCTCACGACTCTTGAATATCTCGCCGAAAGGTGTTCAAAAGGGAAGCCCGACCCAAACCCGAAACCCCCCCCCTTTTATAGGCAGTTTTTTTTTTTAAATAGGGTGGAAGAAACTTCGTAATGTTATTCTCTGAAATTCGTCTCATGAAAGGAAGCGCGGACCCACTACCAAATAGTGTCACCGACTTGATTACGACCGACAATCGTCTTGATTGAATACCAATTTAAATCTCTTCCTTAATTCGGATCGTGAGGGTTAAAACAGCAGGGACCGCCTAACCAAAAATAAACCACCACACACACCCCCTTCCATTTTAGCCATATTTTGATTCCAATAGAAAAACAGAAACTAAGCAGCCCATAGGAAAAGGCGTCTCTCCTTCCTCACAACCTCGGGTCAGGCCCTGACCTGGAGTGGCCCGCCCAGGTAGGAAGCTCCCCGGTTCCCCTAGCTGAGGTGGCCGCAGCCAGGTTCAAGGCAGACAGAAAGATATTTCAAACGGCCGGTCTCGAGCTCCATTACCTGAACGCCAAACCCACTCGCGCCTCTTAAGAGCTGCAAAACACCGCACCGATTTCTGCCCCGTCCTCCACGTGCTGGCTTTGTCCAATCATGTTCTCCGGCTCGCCTCTCTTTGGATCCACCCCTAACCCCCCACCCAACCAAGAGCGCGGAAGAAAAGCTCGCGCCTCGCCGTCAGGTGACTCACATGGCTTTCCCCGTCCTCTTCCTTTCCCCGTCCTCTTCCCCCCGCCCCACTCGCCCGCAGCCTTCCTTTCCGTGCCTCTCCTTTTTGACCAATAAACGCACCAAGCCCATCGGCCAATAGGAAGGAGAGTTGGCTCGGAAGTTGCGCAACCGCAGTCCGTGGGGCTGAGGTCATAATGATTAAAATGGCGACGCCGCAGTTGGTGGGGTTACCGGCTTCTCTTACGGGCAAGATCAAGGGGTGCGTTTCTTTCCCTCGCCGGCTCCTAGTACAGTAGCTTGGATACGGGAAGAGGAGGGGGCGGCCAGGAATAAAGCGTCAGGATTGAGAAGGTTGAAATTGTGGAGTGTCACAACACGAGGAGTTTCTGCCCGAGTGTTTTTTGGAAATCCTCTTTCCTGCTCTGCTTTGGGGCTGCTTGTTTGAATTGCGAAGGCTCCCAGGATTTTGGGGGGAATTGCAATGCCAAAGCGTTGGGAAGGCATCAGATTGCGGAAGATTGCGCCAGTTTGCTTATTGCTATTTTCGGCTAGCTTCCGATGACATGGCTTAATTTACCCATGCTTAACTTGAACCGTGGTGTGCTCAACTTTCAATTTTTGTGGGTTTGCACGAGGCACTAAACCATAAACCAAACCCAGCAATTTGGGCCAATGCTGCAAAAATTTGCCTTAATTTAAAAGTATACATTAATCAGCTCTGCTTATGTTCATTAAATGACTGGTGTTAAAATTAAGCAAATGTCACTATTGACCTTTTGCAGAAATTATAAAAATGCGACCCTGATAGAGATAATAGCTTGGTCTGTATAATTTTATATTTGTATTTATTGAAAATGAATCAGGAATTTCATTATTCCAGTCAGCCACTTACATGCCGAAGAGTTGCTTTGGTGTAATAATTAAATGTGCAGGGCTAGAAACACTCTCACTTATATTTCTATCATAGGCGCAAAGCCAACTGGGGGACTTTGGCCAAGTCACTCTCTGAAAACCTTGCTGAGAAAATTGAAGAAACTAAATGACCTCTTCAGACAGAACAAGATATATAGTGCATAACAAGCACGTTAAAGTAGGGTAGTTAATTATTTTATTTTGAAAGTTTGGACTCTTGAAGGGCCTAAAATTACTGTAATTTAAGTCTAAACAATTGGTTCATAGTATCTGAGCCCTCCAGCTTTATTAGACGCCCTTATTTTTAAAGCTGACACTCTGAATAATTGGTTAGACTTAAATTGTATACTAATTTCAAGCTTTTCAGGGGCCCAAACTTTAAAAATAAAATTCACATTCTAATTCATGTTGAATATTTGGTAATATTCAAGCTATTTACAAGCCTGAAATATTGTTTTTTTATAGATCTTTTGCATATAATACAATTAAAGACAGGCTGCCTCTTATCCTGACTCGTGTTATTGATACTTTACATCGACATAAACATGAATTCTTTGAAGAACATGGAGAAGTAAGAAACTTGACCCTTTCTGTTTTATTCTTGTGTGAATACAAATGTTGACTCTGCTTACTGCTTTCTATGGTTAGTTCTGCATAACTTAGACATAAATTTCCCTGTTTCAAATGTCAAGGATGTACTGGATTAGCCAGGGTTTGTCTTCCGAGCATCATCATTTCATTTATTTTTCAAGTCTTTTCAAGTCTTCTAAACTAATCAACTCTTAGAATCTTGTAGTAGGCCATTGTCCATGAACAGGTAACATGTCTTTATGATCTATAATGGTTGCTAATTAATTAAATGCTAGTATCATTGGAAAAGGAAAATATTTTTCTTTCAGTGAATGGTGAACAGTGCTATTATTTTAGAATAATAAGTAAGAAATATATATTAAAATAAATTATCTTACTAGGTTATGCCCCTTGCCAGCTCTTTCAAAATTAAAAAAAAAGATTCAGATGCCTCTTTTCCTAGGAAAGATGTTCAGCTCCCATTTATTTTAGTCATTTCTTCCTATACAAGATTCTCATTAGGTTACATACCGTATATCCAATAATTCTTTCTTGCTCAATATTCAGCACTTTATAAACTATTGTAGAATGTAAAGGTTGGAAGGAATCTTTGAAATAATTTAGTCCAACCTGTCCGGCAGATATCCACTACTGCAGCATCTTCAAGAGGTCACCAGAGACTGATTTTTGGTCTGTCACTTGGTGAACTTTTCTGTAGGTGTTTGCTATCCCTCATCTCTGTCATTTGTAAATGTGATAATCCTATTTTCTGATCCCTCATCCAGATCAGTTATATATATGTTGAACAGCACAAGGGTCCTCAATAGTGACCTGCAATACAGGTAGGCCTTGACTTGTGACAATAATGAAGTTTTCCCATTACATCGTAAATCATCACTGTGCTTAAGCGAGGTGCCTGTGTGATCACTTCGCTTAATGACACCAATTACTGCTCTCCCCATTTTGGTAGTTAAGCGGAGCACAGTGTCCTAGGTGGGGGAGGCCCTGAGAAGTCTAGTGCAGGCCCATGGCCAAATCTCCCCAATTCACATATGGCATGCCTCAGACCTTCCAGGACCCCCCCACAAACCAAGCCATCCTGTATGTATTCTGCTTCCCATCTACTGGGTCCTCTCAGACCTTGGGCTTGCTTTCCCACCCCACTGGGTCTGATATCTTCCACATTTTGTCTAGCTCATAGTTTTTCTTGTCCAAGCAGTAAATATATTTTTATTTCATGGCTACTATGGTCTTCATTGTAAGGTTTTAAGTGTAGGAGTCTGTCACACCTTCAGTTTTTTTTAATGTCTATTTGCATTGGATTGGCTTTCCCTGGACATGATCTGTCCCTTCTCTTCATAGTGGAATAGCAGGCTGGATTTTTCACCTCTTTTTCCCTTTCAAGAAGATCTACAGTATCTTAAGTATTCAGCATTTCATTTCCTTTTATTATTTTCAATAAAACAGCAGATAGCCATTTCATCTTTTTACATTTTTAGATAGTTTTGTTTGCTTCATCTTTAATGAGCTTACATTAAAGATATCTTCAGGCATTATAATTATTAAATCCATTAAACCTATTTTTAATTTTCACTGTAAAAGGCTAAGGAACATCGTTGAAATTGGGTCCTGTTGGTCTGGCAATTTTGTTGGAGAATGAGTTAACGGCATCTCAATTACAGACAGCACTGAGTGTTGTTTTTGCTGATTTAATGTAGCATTTACTTTCAGAATATATAGCTTACATTGGTGTGATCCGTTCAGTGATATTGATATGTATCACCCTCTTTTAGATTATTGGAAGAAGATATCTGTTATTAATATTGTATCTTCTTAAAACACATGTTGGTTTCTCCCACTTTGTTTCATATGCTAGGACCAATTTTTCATTTCATTCCAAATGATACTGTACTTCCAATTTTAGTATTTCAGAAACCTGGTACTTCCTCTGCATTTCTGACTGGATCACTATAACAACAATTAACTTGCATTGAACTCAATATTATTTTATCATTGGAACTATATCTGAGTACAGGTAGTCCTCAACTTACAACTGTTCATTTAGTAACCGTTCAATGTTACAACAGTACTGAAAAAAATGACTTATGACCATTTTTTACACTTATGACCATTGCAGCATCCCCATGGTCTCATGATCAAAATCCAGGTGCTTGGCAACTGACTCACATTTATGACTGTTGTAGTGTCCCAGGGTCATGTGTTCATCTTTTGTAACTTGACAAGTCAATGGGAAAGCGAGATTCACTTAAACATGTTTCTTAACAACTGCAGTAATTTACATAATAACTGGGGCAAGAAAAGTCATAAAATGGGGCAAAACTCATTTAATAAATGTCTCACTTAGCAACAGAAATTTTGGCCTCGATTGTGGTCATCTGCAGTATTATGCTGACATTGCCCTGATTGTAAATGAACATTTGGCAAAATACTGGAATGTGTTGGATTTCCTTCTTCAATGAAGTGTGTTTAATCTAACACAATCCCTTAAATATGACCTGCCTGTTGTGGATGAGCATTTTGAGTATGGATATTTTCAATACTATATTTCATAGCATCATTTGGGATGTTCAAACCTACCACTAGCACAAACTGATGATTCATGAAAGATACATTTTAATTTACCATTGTCTTATTGTTTGCAACTGCTCTACTCTTACATTCAGTTTATGTAAACCTTAACAATAAAGAACCCTCTTTTAAAATCTATCATGCTTTTATTTTCCGCCTGAGGCCATATTTATTCACTTGCTTCCATGTTCAGCATAGCGCAAATATTCATTTGGTTATTAGTTTAATTCACTATGGGCACTAAAATGGTTGCCATACTGAGCTATTGGCATACTGAGCTATATATCTGAATATTTTTGAGTCTCAACACCAATATTTTTAATATGCTTAAAACATATGTATTAAATATACTTTACTACAGTGTAAATTTAGTAAGCGTAAACACTTGAATTAGAAACATTTTCGCTTTATTTCAGAAAGGCATTGAAGCAGAAAAGAAAGCTATAGCCTATCTTTCCAAGATGCGAAATGAGTTGCAGACAGACAAGCCGCTGATCGCATTGAATGATAATCTCCCTGATACCCTTCTGTGGAACCAGTACTTAGAATATCATAAAAATGTATCAAATGAACCACCAAGCTGGTTTCAATCTCCTTGGTTGTATACAGAGTGTTACATGTATCGTAGAATTCATGAAGCTGTTATTCAGAGGTAAGCTTGTATGATCTTGTCTCTTTTTGTTTAAATATTTGAGGAAAAAGATACATAAAAATTACCCTCAAGTCAAGTTTAATCCATGCAATTCCCTCAGCCACACCTCAAAAAGTGCTTGCTGTTGCCTCCCCCCCCCCCCCCAAGGCTATCTGGTTTTCCATTCTAGAGAACAGCCCTAAAATTCCAGTACTGAGTCCAACTTGTTTTAGCTTTTGAGATCATTCAGGGTTCTATTAACTACAGGGGGCTAATAAATACCATTAATCTTAGTAATGGCTTGCTACAAATATTGAAGTACTCTCTTCGATTTGTACAAACTGGTAAGGCTAAGCAAATTTGATGTGGTTTCCCTCTTGTCTGAAATGAGCCTCTGAGTTCCATTAAATCCACATCCTATCTTGGTGAGCTTGAGCATGGATTCAAACTCACCTTCATTCATGGAGACTGAACTAGAGAAGGACTTTGTCAGATAATTAACCTGTTCTAACTAACTGCAATATCATTCAGGATTGCATGGAAAGTAAATTCTCTTTGGCAGTTCAAGTTCAAATAGAAATAATAAATAATGAATTTTCTCTCTTGCTTATTCACTCATGCAAAGATGCTATGCAGCCCTGTTCCATGTTCTCTTCTATGTTAGAATACAGTGGCTGATCAGAAAAGCAACATGAGTATATATGTGTGTGTGTGTGTGTGTGTGTAGATTTTCACGGGTACAGGTATGTAGGTCTAGGTGTGTTTGGATCTTTTCCCGTGTAAGATTAAGAGTATCTTGGCGACGTTTCGGTGAGGTCCCAATGCCATCCTCAGGCTGGTGCTTTCGGCTTCGTGCTAGTGCAAGCAGTGTGTGATCAGAGTGCCGTCTTTCTATAAATACTGGTGGTGGGGGCTGGTGTGCTGGGCTGGTTGGCTGCGCTGCTGCCTCTTGATTGGTTGATGGAGTTGATGTTGGTATAATGGGCTGTGTGGTGGCCTTGTGAGTTTTGTTGTGGAGATATCCTGGATCTCGTGCTGTAATCTCCTGGGTGGTTTGTTTTGTAGTGATCTTTTTTCCATTTGCCTCTCATGTTTTAACGGCTTGAGTAATGGGTTGTGTGATGGGCTTGCGAATTCTTTTGTTGTGGTATCCTGGGTCCTGCGTTGTAATCTCCTGGGTCGTTTCTGTTTTTATCTCTTTTCCATTAGCCTCCTGTGTAGTAACGGCTTTGGTAATGGGTTGTGTGATGACCTTGTGAGATTTATTGCTGTGGTATCCTTGGTCTTGTGCTGTGATATCCTGGGTCATTTGCTGTGTTGCAACTTCTTGAATTCTTGTGGTGTAATTTCCTGAGTTTTCTGATGTGATATCCTGAGCGGGTGGCTGTGATGTAGCATTCTGGGTTTTAGTTTGGCTTCGAGTTTGGGTCTGGGTCTGTCTTCTTGGCGTGTGTCAGCTTGTTTGGTTTTGGGGTCGGAGGGTGTGACAGCTGGCGAAGCAGCCATGGTCTGTTTTCTGGATGGTGGTTGTCCTTCGTTTATAGGATGGGCTTGGGCCTGGGTCTGATGAGGGGGATTGGCGGTGGTGTCCTGTGTTGTTTTGGGTCTGGTGTTGGTTTTCGTGGCTGGGACTCATTTGTTGGTGAGGGCTAGCTTCCAGATGTCTGGTAGGCGGGAGGTATCGTCCCGTCTATTCATGTTATGGAGGTGTTTCTCTATCTCGATGGCTTCCCTGATTATTCTCTTGCTGGAATGTTCAGTGTTGGATATTCGAAGGAACCAAATTAATATCTAACACTGAACACTGGAAGCTAGCCCTCACCAACAAACGACCCAGGAGATTACAGCACAAGATCCAGGATATCTCCACAACAAAACTCACAAGGCCATCACACAGCCCATTATACCAACATCAACTCCATCAACCAATCAAGAGGCAGCAGCGCAGCCAACCAGCCCAGCACACCAGTCCCCACCACAGTATTTATAGAGAGACGGCAGCTCCGATCACACACTGCTTGCACTGGCACGAAGCCGAAAGCACCAGCCTGAGGATGGCGAGTAGGACCTCGCCGAAATGTCGCCAAGATACTCTTAATCTTACACGGGAAAAGACCTGAACACACCTAGACATACATACATACATACATACATACATGTCTTTTTGAGAAATATCTTTTAGTTAAGCATTCCTTTAATTATTTTAGCCAATGAAAACTGATAAGGAATAGCAGCAACATTAAGAAGTGGGGAGAATTAAAAGTATTTTAACTTGTTTAAGTGAAAAAAATGTATGTCCATATGTATGTATTAATGAGGGGGGAAACTAAGAGTAAATTAAGCCATTGTCAAACCCATTTGAACCCTTATGATCAAATGAAAGATCTTTTGTCAAACATGGGACAAAACAATATATGCTTCCAGTATGGATTGTTATTGAAAAATAATACTAGGTATAATTGAATATGTTAATATAATCTCATGCTGTACATTTCTAACAAGATTCATTTAGTCAAAAGTAGTTATGGTGTTCAATGTGATATACAGTCTAAAGGAGAAAAAAAGTTTAATATGCATGTGTTTTAAATGCTAATGATATCAGAAACTAATCTAAAGAACATCTTTTGTTTAGTCCACCCATCAGCAACTTTGATGTATTTAAAGAAGAAAAGAATCATGCTTTCTTTGAATCTCAGCAAGCCATGATTGTTTTAAGTTCTTGTCTCCAAGAGATGCTAAAAAATATAGATGGCTTAGATGAAAAACGTTTAAAAGAGGAATTTTGTAACCTAATTCAGGTAAAACTGGTGCTTGTTTATATTTCCATACTTTGAAAATTGTAAGCAATACCATGTTTCCAGTTCCAAGAATTAAAAAAAAATTGTTTTATCCAAAGTAACAAATATTATCCCAACTGTTCAAAATAGTGACTGAAAGCTAGGGATATGTAAAGCATGCCTTGGGACTAGAATTGGAATGTTTTGATTTTGTTCTGGACCACACTGGTTCAGTACTTTTGCAGAGGTTTGGGAGGAAGCTGTACAGTATGTCATTTCCCCCTTCTTTGAAAGAAATGCAGTTTGCTTTGGCAGGCTATTGGATTAGGTTTAGCAGATCAAAGAATTGCTTATTTACCAAAAATTAACATGCAATCTTTTCTTTTTTAGGTTTCATTATGGGCCAATAAGTGTGATCTATCCATTTCAGCTGGAGCGGATAATTCTCAGAAGTCTGACCCATTACAATCTGTGGAAGAATTAAAAAAATTCATCTTGGTGAATCACATGGAAAAACTTTGGTCACTGCTTATAAACAAAAAGAAAAACAAAACACCAACTAGACTTGACATAATCCTGGATAATGCTGGTTTTGAACTTATTACTGATCTTGTTTTGGCTGATTTTTTGATATCCTCAGAATTGGTTACTGAAATCCATTTCCACGGGAAAAGCATTCCATGGTATGTGTCAGATACTACAAAGCATGACCTGGATTGGACAATTGGACAGATGAAAGCAGCTAATCATAAATGGATGGCTAGATGTGGTGTCTCCTGGGAGGGCTACCTGAAAAAAGGTGTTTGGATTTATCATGATCACATGTTCTGGACTTTGCCACATGAATTTTCTAGTATGGCTCAGATTGCTCCAGGTTTATACACTGAGTTACAAAAATCAAGCTTAATTATTTTCAAAGGTGATTTGAACTATAGAAAGCTAACAGGTGATCGAATGTGGGAATTCACAGTGCCATTCCATCAAGCCTTGAACAATTTTCAGCCTGCACCACTCTGTAGCTTAAGGACATTGAAATCTGATACTCAGGTTGGTTTGAAACCTGGGCAAGGTGAACAGGTCATGAATATTGATCCTGAGTGGATGATAAGTGGTAAATATGGAATAATTCAGTTTGATGCTACTTCCTGATAGATTTGCAAGATATGAAGAATGGCACTGTGCTAAAAACCAATTAATGGTCTAATCTGGAAGGCCACTAATTTTCAATGTGCACTATTTTCTTCCAAGAGCCATGCTGTTATTTTAAAGTGATATGCAATTGTGACCTCTTTTGAATCATCAGAAAAGATCAAATTTGTCCTCTACCATACTTTATTTTTAACTAATATAGAACAAGAAGCAACAGCCAAAGCTACTACATTAGTTGACATGTGTTTGATTCTGCTGTGTTAACATAAAACACAATGCTGCTTGAGCTTAATCTTGTTCAGAAAAAAAATGATGTTAAATAAAATGACATCTCAAATGGCAAAACTAAAGGCTTTGAATTAAATTATCCAATATGAGAACTACATGCGTTGTTGCACAGTATTTAAAAAAATAATCCAATTGTGAGCACCGTTGTCTCTTCAAGCTTGCTCTACCAATTAACATTGCAGGCAAACTGTGTTCAGAGACAGCAGACTTTGTCACGATATATAGACTATCAAGGTGGTGGGACTACATATCTTCATATCTGCCTGCCTTCTCATGTTCATATTAATGGCATGCTGAGAAGGGTAAAAACTGAGTAGGAAGAGTCCCAGAAATGGGAGGAGTGTGGAGGGGAGGAAGGAAGGAAGGCTGGCTTCATCTTGTCTGGCTTAAGTGGAATCATAGTTAACAGCCATGGGGGAATATCTATTTATACATTGGACTGTTTATTCTACATATTAGGTAATACATTTATAGTCCATTGTTATTGCCTAATCTAAATAAACCACATGGCTATTACAATGATTTCACCTAAGCCTGGTTGGTGAGTTATAACAGGCATTGAAGAATTGTTTATCACTGCTACTCATAATTAATTGCAGTTTGTTCAAGTATTTTGATGGGTTTTTTAAAGACATTGTTTCTTTCAAGCAGTTATTGTCTGTAGGCTTATAAGAATATTTTATGTAGCTTCTAGCATTTCAGCTGTTAAGGCAGATAGCAATAGCAATAGCACTTAGACTTATATGCTGCTTTACGGTGCTTTACAGTCCTCTCTAAGTGGTTTACAGAGTCAGCATATTGCCCCCAATAACTTTGGTCCTCATTTTACCCATGGAAGGCTGAGTGATGAGCCCGATGAGATCCGATCTGCCAAATTGCAGGCAGCCAGCAGTCAGCAGATGTAGCCTGCAGTACTGCACTCTAACCACTCTGCCACCATGGCTCAGATACCCTACACAACTATATATTCTGTATCTCAAATCAGAAAATATTTTTGAAACAAAGTTTTATTTTACAGTTATCTTTTGATTATTTTAATGGAAGTCTTATTCTATATGTTGTGCCACAGGAAATGCTGGAACGTACAATCTGACATATAAAGCTTGAAAACGTTATTTTGAAACAATATACTTCCTTTTGGGTCTTGTGTTCTCACTACCCTTTTTGGTCCTGCCTTACTTGTCCCTTCACTTGGAAAAGAATACTCGGTTCACAAAATGATTCTGTTATTCTTAATTGAAGAAAAACGGAATTGTTTTGGTAATATATTACTTTGATCACTTGAGAGTCACAACAGGAGTGGACAACATTTTTTTTTTGTCTGTGAAGGCTCTCCTTCCCTTAGAACAGGGGTCCCCAACCACCGGTCCGCGGACCGGTACCGGTCCGTGGAACAAGTCCTACCGGGCCGCTGGCTTGCTGGGCGCCGCCATCTTTTTTTGATGAAAAAGTGCTTCCGGTGAGCTTTTCCGGGTAGAAAGCTCACCGGAAGCACTTTTTCATCAAAAAAAGATGGCGGCGCCCAGCTGATGCTGGTACCGGGCCGCGGCGCCCAGCTGATGCCGGTACCGGGCCGCGGCGTAAAAACGGTTGGGGATCACTGCCTTAGAAAACAGACTGTTAGAGATTGTGGTGGGCAGTGCTGAAGCAAGCAGCAGATTGAGACAGAGCCTAATGGAGGTTGTTATACTATTCTTTTTCTTAGCCCTTCTTTTCCTCTAATCTTAAACAGCAGGACAAAGATAAGCTCTTTCCAAGGCTCACAAGTTTGGTGCTTGTTTTATAATAACAGCTGAGAATGGAAGGCACTAATTTTCAAGTGTGCTTCATAAAGGAAGGAAGGAAGGTCAGAACTGCAAACAGAATTCAGAGTCCATATGAACGGTCTACGTCAGGGGTGTCAAACTTACAGCCCACAGGCTGGATGCGTCACATTCTGGCCCTGCCCCCGCCTGGTTTAGTGAAGGGGGAAAAAGTCCCGATACGTCATGTGACAACGACGCAACACCGCGAGTTTGACATCCCTGGTCTACATCTTCCCTGAAACCAAAAATCCTGCCTGCCCGGAATCTGAATTACTCCAGGAGCAGGAGAATATATAGGTTAGTTAAATAATACGGGTAGTCCTCAATTTATGGCCTCAATTGAGCCCCAAATCTCTGTTGTTAAGTGAGACATTTGTTAAGTAAGTTTTACGACCTTTCCTGTCCTAGTTGTTAAATCATTGCAGTTGATATATTAACAATCCGGTTGTTAAGTGAATCTGACTTCCCCATTGACTTTGCTTGTCAGAAGGTCACTAAAATAGATCATGTGACCCCAGGACACAGCAACGGTCATAAATATGAACCAAGTGCCAAGCATCTGAATTTTGATCACGTGATCATGGCGATGATGCAAAGGTTGTAACTATGAAAAATGGTCGTAAATCACATTTTTCAGTGCCGTTGTAACTTTAAACAGTCACTAAATGAACAGTTGTAAGTCAAAGACTACTTCTATTAGCGTTTATTTTAACATTTTTAAAAATTTAAGCAATATTTATAAAGTGTAACAAATATGAGCATGAGTTACAGTTAGGAAGACAGTTTGCCAGGGAGAATGTCTTTTAAGCTTATTAAAAATTTCCCATCATTCCTGGTGCTTTGAGCTCTACCACAAAGAAATGCAACTTTAGAAAGCACAGTGTGGCCACTCTAGCAGAGAACATGCACAGATCTTCAAGAATTTCTGAGCTTCGATTGTACCTAGTATGTCCACAGGCTCTACAGTAGAAGCAAAATTATTATTAAATGCCTCATATGCATTTGATATTAATTTTCATTATAATGAAAGCTATTGTGTGTGACTGTATATAAGGCTTATGTGTATGATCACTTACCTGTTTCTCAGTCACCAGAATGTCTTTTGTCTATTGATTTATGCCAGTACTGTATGAGAAATTTTTATCTAACTCTTATCAAATCTCTTATCAATATTTTGCCTGTATGTGGCTATTAAGAACAGAAACGAATGATTTTTCTTCCCAGTTGCATTAGACAAAAAGCTTACAAACTCATACTTTTTGGTTGGCACTAATTCATTTTTGTTATACTGAATGCAGACAACACATCTGTTATTATACTGAATGCAGATAACACATCAAATAATTTTAGTTTGATATTCCCTGTAAATGTTATCAATGCAATACATCTAAAGCCATTTTTATTTGTAGGCTTAGTGTGCCTTATTGTAAACAGAAATATTTAGGTGTACAAGTATTTAATTGCCATATATTATTACCCATATATAACAATCCTATAATATTGAAAAAGTTCTTTTGCCACATGGGATCTAAGTATGTGTAAATCAGTAAAACTATTACTCGTTATACTGTTCATGCAGTAGGAATGCATTTTGAGCTAATTATATTAGTCCTTTTTTTTTAATCTAGAAAATTTGTAACTGATTATATTTGGATAATCTAATACAGGCTTTCAACATTTTTATTTTCAACTTTTTTAAAAAAACAGTATAACTTCCTTTTATTCTTTGCTACATAATTTTTGCCACTGCAAGCTTTTCCATGTCCGTATTTCAAACAAAATTTTTCTTTAAATTCAAGTGCCATTTCAGTGGTTAACATCTTTTCCGTTGCATGTGGGTGGATTTTTGATTCATAAAAATTGAATGCTAGGTGAGTTTGATTTTATGTTGGTATTCATGCTGCTGCAAAGCTTAATGGATGCAAAAGCACAAAAAATAATTTCTAATGAAATTGTGGTGGAAATATTTTGCATGTTTAATAGCCTACAACTTTGCAAAAGTACATACAGGCAATCTATGTCTTTTCAATTATCTGAGTATACATTCTATGTTTAGTGGACAAAATAAATCTAACAGGCTATACCCCTTTCTCTCTCTGCTTTTTAGACATGAGTAGAGTTAAACCTAGTCCATCACTTTATTTAATGCTATCAGACCCAAACTGACCCTTCTTGCCTCTTGTACAATGCCATCTAAAACAAAACAATTGAAGCGCCTCACCTCAGCCCAAGGGCAGGTTTACAAGGGAATTGCAACATAGAGAAACCCCAACCTTCCATCTTCTATCAGCTGATCACCTCAACATTCCATCTTCTTCATCAATGGATTTCCCCAACTCTACTGCCCTTTTGAAAGGCCCATTTTGCCTAACAACAGAATGCCAAATATATTGACAAGAAGCTGCCCAGGGGCTAGCAAATCAGGTCCTTAGGATTTCCCTCCTTGTGGCCCTCAACATCTACAAAAACCTTTGCTTTTCCATCCTTCAGATTGTGTAAAGGTGGCATCCAATAATAATTGTAATAAAACCTGGTTCTCTTCAATGTTGTGCTCCTTCTGATTGAATCCATGAAATTTATTCTAGTACTTCTTGTGCCATATTTGTCATCAGACGTTGGCGATCATGTTGGCAATCCTATTCTAGTACTTAATAAATGTTAATGTTCTTTCTCTTCACTAGAAAAAAGAAATTATATCTTTTCTGCAGAAAATAATGCTTTCCTTTGACTCAGCAACAACTTGATCTTTCAAAAGAATATCTCCGCATAGTTGCTATGGTTATGTTTGCATGGAATTGGAAGGCAGAATTTTTGAGGAACATTCTTATTTGTAGACATATGCACAAAGATCTACATTAGAACAGATTTGAATACAACAAATATGAAGAAGAGAGAAATATTCACAAATTACATTTTTCAAAATTACCCACGAATGAACAGCATGTTAATACAGCTGTGTGCCTGAACTTCTGGTCAACAGATGCACTTAATTCCCTCCCCCCAACTCTGTCCATGTTTTGTTTACTTTATCACCTAAATTAGAAACACTGGTGAATGCCTCTGGGAACAAGATAAGATCTGAAGATACAGTGTGACAAGGGTATATTCATTCGTTAATAACGAGACTTCTGAAAAATTCTGTTTTACTGTTCTCGGCAATTGTGACTTTTCTTTCATTTATTTTAAATATTTCTGTAAACAGGATTCTTCATAAGTTTTGGGAAAAAGTAATAAATTCTGGGTGCTGGAATGTTTACTAGTCATCAGAAGCATTTTTAATCTGCGTGTAACATCCTCTCCAAAGTTCTGGCAATCATCATACACAAAGTGGTCCACAAGAGGAACAAAGGCTTCGTTTCATTGTTCTGGCTTTATTAATAGGATGGATAGTTCTCCTTTTGGAAAGGAAATTAGCAGACTTTAAAAAGTCAGCTGAAATATATCTAACAGGGTCATGAAAATCCCACACTCCCTCTACTAGTAAATAATTTAAAAAAATAGTAGTCTGTAGTGGAAATTTGCCAAAGTAGAAAATTGAAACTGCTTTCTAAGTTTCCACAAAAAAAGGATTAAAAGCTTATCTAAAGGTTTTTCTTTTTTTACTAAGTGTTCTGGATTTTACGAACTTTTACCAGTAGACTTTATAAGCTGAAAAATGATTTTTAAGAAAGATGACCTACAACAGTAATACATTTCTTAGGCTGCTTTCACATTTAACTTATGTAATTACAATCACAAAGAGATGCTTATTTTTTATATATATAACTAGATTTCTCCTCAGATCTTTTTTTGATGTGTTTTTCACATGAATAATCATGGAGTATATAAATAAACATGTTTTGTAACATGTTTTGTTACAGAAAACAATTCCATACTGTTAATGTCTTCTATGTAGACTGCTAAATCATAAATTCTCATTTACAATGTCATTCTTTGGAATTGTAGAAACCAACAAAGACCAAAGAAGCGGAATATTTCAGAAACAAATAACTTGAATTAGAATAACTTTAAGAAATGCCCTTTTTGGTTCTTTGCACAAAAAAAGTATTGATAAAATGTAACTTGGAACTTATATTGAAGAGGACAAAGATTAGCATCCATGTTTAAGAATGTAAGTGGAATCTTCTTCAAGACAAGTTTGATTCTTGATGATGTCATCACTGCTTCCATGTAATTTTATTGGCAACAATATAAAAGTGATTTTCTATTGTCTTCAGAGTTTTGCTTTGCTTTGCTTTGCTTTGCTTTGCTTTGCTTTGCTTTGCTTTACTTCCCAGACTAGCTTCCAGATCTGCTCTTTCCTTGTGCTCTCCTATTAAAGAAGAACCAACAGAGATGTGCGAAAGGCAGTCTTTAGGAAGAAAGAATTTTTCACACAAGTACTAAGTCCACTCCTAATATGCTGTCAACTAGAAGGATGTTTAAAAATACAGCATGTGGAAAAAAATTGTACTGAAAGTTGCTTTTTAAAAAACCTGATTTTCTATTCAGTGGGATTATGCATATTGAATGTTGTATGAAGTGGAAAGAACAACAATTGAAAACTTATATGGTTTCATTCCAAATTATTCAATTATATCCTTTAAAAAGCACTAAATAATACATACTAAAATGGGGGGACTTAACATAAAAAGAATGAACAGCATACATTTTTACAATAAACACAAATCAAATTCTAACCAGCAAATTAAGCTTAAACTATAGAATAGCTTTGCTTGATCTTGCCTTTCCACCAATCAGTTCAAAGGCTGAGAGCTCACTAAACTAATATTTCAAATTGATATGAATATTTTTTTCCAGGAACTCATAATCACATTATTTTGCAACAGTCCAAAGGCAATATACCCAAATAGACAAATTCTAATGTTTGGGAATGTAATTCAAAATGATGATATCTTTAAACCTTAAAAACTGACTGGTGTACCATAGTAATAATATTTAACTCAAAAGAACTACCAGTGGAGAGACTAAGACACACTAAAATCAAATTTATTACACCCCAGCATAGGAAAGATAACAATCCTGCTTGAAAATCCATTTAGGAATTCAAAAATCTCCCCAAAGAATATTTTGAGCTACTCTATTTTTCAACTGTAAAAAGCCAATATTATTAAATTCAGCATGTACATGCAAGAAAAAGGATCTATGAAATATATATTCCAAAACATTCTGAATCAGCCTTTTGGTTAGCGTATCACAATGGTGAAAAACTAGTGTGAATTGAGACTGCTAATATGTTTCACATCTCAGTAATGTATAAGGGACAATTAAGCCAAGCACTTGTACTATAAAAGCAACCCATCAGTACACTATGTAACATATTAGAAGCTAATGATCTTAAAAGAAGATTAGGAAGTAACACATTGAAAATCTCCTGTGAATAGTTCCTCAAATGAAATGTTTCTCAGGATTAATGTAGCAAAAGGGAATAAAGGACAGATCAGTTACATTCTGTAGTCAAGACAGTCTAAAAACTAATTAATTTGATAAGCATTGCCAGGAAACTCTGCATTGGTCACTATTTAACTCCCTGTCTCATCTTCCTTTAAAGTGAGAGTACAGATTTGGCAACCTTAAGGCTTGTGGATTTCAACTCCCAAAATTCCCCAGCCAGCTGCCTGGGGAATTCTGGGAGTTGAAGTCCACAAGTCTTACAGTGGCCATGGTTGGGCACTGCTGCTTTAAAGACTTGTTTAAGTAGTGAAAATTAGCATGCTGCAAAGTACTTTATTCATGGCCTTTATTAAATATCTGCACATGGGGGAAGGCTGAGCTTAAGAGTGGGGAGGCAAGGAACAGTTTCACCATATGGTTTGATTTAAGACCACAAAGCAATAAATAAATATCACCCTTTTTATTTTATTTTTGTTAAATGCATTTTATTGGCCAGGTCCAGTGAGAAAGACTTTTTTGGTAAAACCCTCTGAAAATCACAAAGGGCCCAGGTCAAATACAGCTAAAAAAATGTTGGATCCCATTCTGGGATATTTAAAATATTTTAAAAACAAGAACACGGGAGTAATGCCACCTCTACAAAAAAGGTGTTTTATACACATACACACACATTTTATGTTTTGTTGGAAGAAATATGCTTCTGGGTTCAGTTCCAAGTGGGGAAAAAGACACTGGAAACTTGGAGGCTGCTTGGAAAGATGCTTTAATGGTGGACAAAACCACATGGCTTGGAGCTCCAAAGAAGGAAGGATGATCACATGTTTCAAGGTGAAGGAAGAGATCAAGGAGGAGGAGGGCTGAAAATGCCTGGTTTTTATACCCTCTGTTGGGATTTGAATTTGAGCTTGTATTCTGATTGGTTGTCAGACTCCCATGGGGCCATGCAGGGGCAACTCTGTAGGCTGTCCTGAGTTCCAGGCTTGGTTGAGCCTTGCTGGATGATGATGTAATGAAAGGACTTTTGGCAATTCCTATAGCTCTACCTGCAGATCTTTGTTATGTAAAATGTTCTGTCCCAGGCCTTAATGGCCCACCCATTAACAAAGGTGGGGGGTGAGTTCTGCTTCTGAGTTTCTACTCTTTTTAGAGGAAATATTCTGCTTTTTTATTATTTCCTAGGATATTTCATTTTTCTAGGAGAGGGGTGGGTTTTAACTTCCAACAGTTTTCAACTACTTTTAAGTAGGCAATTCATTTAAGGTGTAAAAATAAACATTGTCAGCAAAAACCAATGAAATTCTTATTTAGAATGCCCTAGGATAAAAATATGCTTTTTAAAATACAGCTTCTGAATAGCAAAAACTATTCCTGATCATTTCCCCCCCCCCCCCCCCCCCGCCCCGGTTTCCCCCGACGCAGGAACACCCTCCACCGGTGGATGGAAGGAAGGGAAAGCTCTCCAAAACACCGAAATAAAACCAAAGTACAGGGTCTCGCGAGAATCACCCGAGAAGGGCGGGTTCTCGACCGACAGCCCCAGCTGTGTATCCGCGGGGCGGTTGACATAGAAACCCAGGTAGCCAAGCGAGCCTGGGCTCTTAGGGACGCGCCCGGGCTGGGTTATTCCGCGGGTCGTCCGAACGCCGAAAGCAAAACAGCCCCGGTCTTCGCGCGCTGTCGGTCCGCGGGAGCATGAGAAGCGCTGGCAGTTCCCGTGCGGGCTCTGCCTGCTCCAGGCTCATCGACGTGACCAGCAACGCACCGTTGCTGCGCTCGCCCGCCAGCGTCTCAGCCTCTTCCGAAGCGGAGGTATGCTCCTCAGGCTTGCATTCCCTACTATAATACCCACATCTGCGGCGTGCCTGGAAGTCGAGCCGGGGCCAACTGGTTTCTTCTTTTCTTGTGGGTTCGAAATACGCAGCGAAACGTTTCGAACCCATAAGGGAAAAAAATAAAGAAGTCCACTCAACTTCCCGACAGCTCTTACGTGGATGACTGAGAATCTTCAGCAAACATCTGCCATGCGGTTTGCCCGAATGGAGATTTTTCTTATGGTCATCCGCCCCCCCCCCCCCCATTGGTTAATTCTTCCTTGTGTAGCCATGGTGTTGCATCGAGCAGCGCAAGGCTGCTCAGTAGCAATAGCGCTTACCACTTGTATACCGCTTCACAGTGCTTTTACAGCGCTTTGCGGAGTCAGCAGATTGCCCCCAACACCTTCTTGATCTCTCTCCCCCATCACCCCAGCCAAAAAAAACCCCCCACAAAAGTTCTGGATTTTGATTTGCCACTCAGAAGCCTGAAATCGAGCTGGTGTCCCTTTTCCTCCTTACCCTTTTTTGGAAACTGGAGAGGGGAAAACATGAATCTGAGGGGTGAATCGGTTTGTAAAATGTATATATATCCCACATTTTTGTTGAGATACAAAGTAGCACATGGCTTATTTCCCAGATTTTAGGGGCTAAGAAGATGGTACAGTGTAGCGGTTGTTTTTTGTTTTTAAAAGAAAACTTCTGGTGAAAGTAACCATTGCATCAAAGTCCAACTTAGTTTATATTTTTTACCATTAGACAATTACCTCTTCATGATAGATCTTAACTGCTACAGACACAAGTAGCGCTAATCAATCATGTCAGAATGATAGAACATGGTTATATAAACAGCCTTTTACAAAAAGCTACACCATTCAGCAGAATAGGGTGATGTCTTACCTACTGAAATTCTTCAACAGAATAAAAAAGGTTGACATCTAGTTAATATTGGAATTCATGCCTAGCTTAGAGGCTTCTCTGGGTAATGTGTGCCTGGAAAAGAGAGCTATGTTGAACATGTTGTGTTGAACCTAAGTTCCATCATCCATTATCCATGATGACTAGTGGATCATAGGAGTTGTAGTCTGACACGTTAGAAGGGTAACCATATTAAGAAGCCTGCTTTAGCCAATAAATGGATTAGGAGGGAGAATATTTTCACATATAGTGATAATTATCTAACTTGGTCTACTGCTCTATGACAATAAATATCCATAGAGCTAGTTCAGTGTTGCACGGGACTCAATACAACAGCATGATTTTTCTTCTTCTTTGAAATCTATGGAAGGTGTTGCAATGCCAGGCTGTATTTTACCGATTTACACATTGTAAATCATGACACATTTTCATGGGACTTTTAAGTCTTCCATCCACATTTCACTTTCTTGTGAAGAAACCTGTGTACACTTTATGATTACTTATGCCTTGCCAAACCTATAAGAATTTTCCCCAATCCCTTCCAACTTTAAGGAATAGTTAATCTTAGCTTTCTTTGATTTGTTGAACTTTTTGATCTTTTCTTAATCATCTCATGGCTCAAGAAGTTTCGCAGTATTGGCAGCTCCCAGGAAAATAATGTTACTCAGATCTAAGCATATTTCCCAAATTTCAATCTGTAGACTCAGAATGGTTTTTTCAGAAATTCCTGGCATTATATCAAGAATTAAAAACTATGTGCTTCATGTTAATTTTAAATGTTAGTATGTACAATCATGTCATATATGTTCTTCAAATAAAAATATATATACTTAAAAAGTGAGATTGCCCAATAATAAATCAGATTCTACATTGAAAGACTTTGGAGGGTGGGCAAGATATCAAGGTTTATTTCAGTCAAAAACCAGTTTATGTTATTTAAGGTATCCAGCAGCCAACAAATACAAAGTGAGTGGGAAGTCAATGAAAATATCAGTTATATTCTAAAAAATATATAAAGCGGGGTTGGACTCTATTGCTGGCAAATAGTGATGTAATATTTGAAATAATTGGTCCCATCCAAACATAGCTTTGAGTTAATACGAAAACCTTTAGCATGTAACTTATGTATTTATTATTATTGTAAAGATTTACATACTACAAGTTTTATACTGCATCTCCAGATTGTATCAGCTGCTATGTGAGGAAATAATGTAAGTGTATTAAATTTATAAGCTGCTCAACTCCATTATATGACTCTGGGCAGCATGCAGCATTTATACAATATTTAAAATAACAAGTTTTGTTTTATTTATGTATTCGCGTATCCCTCCTTTATTACTTTATAAGGTGCCAAGCAATCCTAATTCTCCTTTCTCCTCCTATTTTCCCCACAACAACAACCCTGTGACATGAATTGGGCTGAGAAAAAGTGACTGGCCCAAAGTCACTAAGCTCTGGCTTTCATGCTTAAGGCAAGACTAGAACTCACAGTTTGCTGGTTTCTGGCATGGTGCCTTAACCAGTGGACCAACTAGCTCTTTGTTACAATTACTCTCAAATCATTTTATTTTTTATTTTTCCTTGTCATATTAAAAATATTATCATAATCAATTTTGGAAGCCTGTGAACTAAATCCAGGGCACTCAGAGGCCAAGCATGGCCCTAGCATCTGTATTTCTAGGTTAGGGCCTGGCCACTGTATTATCCATCCATAAGAAGGAATGAGGAAGCTGTCCCAAATGTGCTTTTCCAAAAGGCAACTGGACTTTCTTGGGTTTTTTTTTTCCCTTGAAAACATTTCACTTCTCATCCAAGAAGCTTTTTCAGTTTTGAAGTGAAGAAGCTTCTTGGATGAGAACTGAAATACTTTCAAAGAAAAAACAAAGAAAGTTAAGTTGTCTTTTAGAACAGCACCTTTTGGACAACTATGACCTGGATAATGGAGAATCTCCATAGAACAAGGAAGTTGATTAGTTACTTTTTAGTATAATTTGCTTCATTTAAGTTTCAATAATTTAGATAATAATGGCAATCCCAAATTCTATGCTCTCCAACCATGGGACCTTTGGACATACTGATTGGGGATTTCTGGGAGATGTGGCCCAAAGTATCGGGCAACACAAGGTTGGGGAAAGCTGTTCTAATGGAAGTATTAGAAATAATGAAATTACCTACATTGTTCCTTAATGTTTCATTGTACATCAATACTTTTAGGTTAAACATTCACTTCATAGGACACTATTTCAACAGCTGTGATACTTTGCATAATGCCCTAACAATTATAGTTTCAATTATATGTCGGTACAGTTTTATCTTTCGACATTCAAGGACTGAGCTGTTTCTTATTAAACATAGCAAAGGGAGTACATTTATCTAAGATTTCTGGTTTTCTGCTCTTTATCTTTCCCTCACTCATGCTTTGATCTAAAGTTCAGAGAAACAGAGGAAGGTTTTTGCATAGCTTTCTCATGGGATCCTTCCAGGTCAGGGACCTAAAATTAGGATGTTAAATGTAGGATAATGCATCCACTACTTGCAAATACAACTTCTATATAGATCTGAAAAAAAGTGGGGGTAGGGATAGTCAACATAGTTGAAAAGTTGCATTTTTCTCTATTTTTTTTTAAGAAAAAAGGACATTGTGAACATGTTGAATGTTGATAATAAAAGTGGTAACTTCCGTATTTTAAAAATAGTATACCAATATAGAAATGTGTTTATTTATTTATAAACTTATTTCAGCTTATGAAGGCATTGAACAACTCCCACTGATTATATGCGACTTAGCTTATATTATGGTGCCACAGGCTCAGCATAGAATTCCTAATTGCCTATGGAGGAATGCTGTGGAAGACGATTAGGAATTCTTGCATTGAAAGTTGTACAATAAAGCAGTTAATATGGATAATGTTTATAAGACTAGGTAATGCTTAGATGATGGCCTGCAGTTTTTTTGGGGAAAACATGCTGGCTGTTTCATCCATCACCCAACAATATAGCTCAGTGTTTCTCAGTTCTGCAACTTGAAGCTGTGTGGAATTCAGAATGATGGCTGGAGAATTCTGGGTTGAAGTCCACCCAATTTCAACTTGCTGAGGTTGAGGTACACCAATGTAACTTATTTAATTTCCTCAGTGCACTTTTAAGTTTTAACAGAATGTTAAACAGAAACTCAATTTGCATCCAACAAAGTATTCTCTTTTGTGATAAGCAACATTAAGCAAAATGCAGAAAAGGAATAATAAATATTAACCTGGAGAAATTGAAGGCATGAGGTAAGAAAATGAAATATGGTTAAATCTGGTTTATCCTAACCACATTCATTTTATCTCTCCATAGCTTTCTGTCCCTACACACTATATACTGTTTTCATTCATTGACTTTTGTTCTTCAAAAAAGAAAAACATTCAGCAAAGAGGATTTTGCCTAGAGCTAAACATGGAAGGAATCTCATTAGTTGAAATAACATTTCTTATTTTTAACAATTTTTTTTTGCTTTTTGGAATTGTATTATCTGATGTGATGCCTTCAGAAGCAACTAAATATTACATCATTATCAGCACTGCCATCAAAACTAAGGACTGTATGATTGTTTATTGTAAGACTCTTAAAGGCATAGGAACCAAAACCAAAAAAACATCCTGGAATCATTTCTAATCCTCAACTTACAACAATTCATTTCATGACCGTTCCAAGTTACAGTGATGCTGAAAAAGTGACTTATGACTATTTTTCACACTTACCATGATTGCAGCATCCCCACAATTGCATGATTAAAATTCAGATGCTTGGCAACTGACTCATATTTACGATGGTTGCAGTAACCCAGGATCATGCAATCATCTTTTGTGACCTTCTGACAAGCAATATCCGTGGGGAAGCCTGATCCACTTAACAATCATGTCTCTAACTTAACAACTGCAGTGATTCACTTAATAACTTTGGCAAGAAAGGTTGTAAAATGTGGCAAAACTCACTTAACAATGGTTTTGCTTAGTAACAATTTTTTCCCCAAGCATCATATCATATAAGCTCACTTTTGGGGAAAAAATGCAAAAGAAAAACAGAATTCTTTTCTTTATTGATTCCTTATGACCCAGAGACCACTTGTAGTCTGCAGTCAAACTACCATAGATGATCATCTCTAATGTCAAAAGCCAGTTTCCAAGATTGGTGACCATATACATTAGAATAAAATCTGGACACAAAGATACTTTTTATATGACCAGAATCTCAATTGATTGCCAACTTTTCACAGGAGTTTAGAGGTCTTGTCCAAAGTCTTACAAAACTCATGGGAATCTCAATGTCCCATTTGATCTGATAACCTTGCAAGGTTTGGATCATTAAATTCAATGATGTTTTTGTTTCTTTAAAAGATATCATATCCAGCAAAAGGAAAAGTGCCTTATTTCAAAAGGACACACGTACCAAGTTGTCTTTTGCTGTTATGGTTTGGCTTGTGTGATGGTCCTTAAAAACTCTAGTGGACCATATTTTTTTTTTAAAAAGTAAACGATCTACCAAAACAGACTTTGTTTCAGCCTAAACCATATTTTTGTTGTTGGCTCAAAAATGATGTACAAATCTATATTAGGAGGTGAAGTGGAAGGGAACTATGTTTTAAAGAGTACAAAAGGGACATATTAAGCACAGTGGGTAAAGAAGTATTAGGGAAGATTTAAAGCTGTATGCAAAATGTATATGTTATGAAAAACTATGTGAACCAAATTTCTGAAGCAGAGTTCTCTAACCTTTCCAGCTTTGCTGACTGGAGGGAAGGGAGGGGATGGTTCAGCATGAGTGGTGGGCAAGCACCCATGCATGCAGTTCCATTTGTGCAAGTGGCGGGCACATGTGTGCACAAATAGAGTTGCACGCACATGCTCATCCACAGGTTCTGTGGCCCAGGTCCAAGTAGACCGCGGCTTGGGGGATTGGGGACCCTATTTTAAAGAATTTATATTTCTTTAGAAAAAAAAAGACAGAACAGTAATACATATAGCACTGATACAGGGTTGCATTCATCAGCACATATTATAGCAGTAATGGTAGTGATTTTATTCATTAAATCATAACTAAATGCATAGATATAGAATAAAATCGCAGTACAAATTATACTGATAATTTAAAGGTTTCTTTTAAAAAATTAAAACTTTCAGTGCTATACAAGCATTAAATATTCTCAGGTATATCATTTTCTAAAGCTTTAGCATATTGTTTAAACAAAATTTGTTTAATTTGATGTACATTTTAAAAATATGCATATTTAGTGATATATATTTTTTCTGTTACTTTCCTTTTTCATGCTGTTTTAAAACAATTGGGGATTTTTATTTATAGTGAAGGAATGATCAGAGATGCTGAATACTTTAAACAGCAGGTGGCACAATGACCAACCAAAGGAGACATCAGGGTTATGCTTCTAATACAATCTTCTATCCTGCCTTAAAAACAATAGAACAGGATGGAAACAAAGGCAGAGTATTGAACAATATACAAGCATGTGTTTCAAACAGCGGTTTGAATGAATTACGAACAGAACTGAAATTTGATTTAAGCCCCTTCTTATAATAGATAGAAAAATGCCACAATTCTTTCAAACAAAACCATACTTCTTAGATAGTTTACATGTGAATGGGTGTAATTGTTACAGCAACAGTAGTCTTTCCTCTTTGGCCCTCAGCAATATGACTAGTTTCCTGTAATTAAGGAGGGGTCAGAGAAATGGTAATCACAGCTTTGTGTTACCTGGAAGATTTATACACCTAAAGGTATAAGGTATACACCTTGGTATTAAGCAATGGAATTGAAACCATTTCTTCAATGCTCCTTCCTAAAAACCCATTCCAATCAAAATTCAAGCAATGTCTATTCAGTAACATTTGCACAATCTATCCTTGTCAGGAAAAACTAGCATTGCATTTGGACTGACTAAAAGGCTAATTGCCTCATTGAATCCTGGCTATGGAGGGTGGGTGATGCTACTAACTTTCCAACTTCTACCGCTAGGATCTTTAAAAAGCTGCATTCCCAACTCAGGAACAACAAATATTATAGTGAACAGTTAAATTCCCAGCTTTGCCCTGAAGTTTTTGTACAATTTGAAGAGCACTTAAAAATGAATCCCCCCCAACCCCATCTCTCTGCATTCAGTCAGAGTTGCACTGTGTATGCTTTCTTGTTAAGGTTAAATGAATAAATAAATCAAATTCTCCTCTGCAAACATTTAAAGCTAAATGTTAGGCAAATAGACAGTGTAACAGCTGGGCAGACATCATGTTAAAAACTCATTTAGAAGACACAATGTTGTTTCTTCTCACTTTCCTCTTTTAATAAATCCTTGCTTTGTTTAAGGTAATTGGGCTTTCTGGGATAAGTGCTGCCAGCTGTTCTCGGAATAGAAACAATATTCGGGATTTTGACGCTGAAGAGTAAAGTGGGAGAACAGTACACACATTGAAATACTAGCCAAAACCCTGATTGCAATCAGCATAAAAAAGATCAGTCCGAGCACATATGTTGCGTATTTTGAAGTATAAGTTAATTTCCATATGTTCCATTGCAGTTGAAAAAATAAAGCATGCATTTCTTTTCACTTAATAACTGTTGAACAGTCATAAATAACCAAAGCAGCAATAATAATCTGTGCTTTAGTTTTATGTTGCATTCGATTTGTGACTCACTCATAGAAACAGGGCAGTCATTTAAATTAGGGTGATGCAGTATTTCTGATTCAAAGGGGGAAAAAAGATGCAACTACTCTAATGAATATCAGGTTCTCCATAAGCTTCTCTGTACACTCCAGAACATCTTTTTCTCTTCAGATCTGAAGCATTGCATAGCCCTAATATAAGTAATAGTAATAAGAAATAAAGCTCAGAGGCAGGCAATTCTGATTGGAACATACATTTTATATATTGCTCTAAAATAATTCTTCCAACCTTAGTGATTACCAGAGCTGTGAATATTGACATATTCACTTCTGAAGAATATTAAACATTAAGCTGTAGTCTAATCAAACTTCCCCTCTTGCAGTCAATATTGAAAATAGTGAACAGGAATTCTGATTAATAATACTAGAAAGAAAGAACAAGTTAATAATACTTCAAGGGAATACTTTCAACTAAGGCAGATGCGTATAGACGACATTTAAGAAAGCAAACTCTAGCCCAGTTCTTCAGACAGTACAGCACAGCCATCTTTGGGGGGCTCCAGCTGATCCCAGCTTTGAGAACTGACCTCCATGTCAGCAGTATAAGAACTAACCTCCACAATTAAGCCAATGAAGCATCATTTGAGACGGATGCATAAGCAGTGGTAATTTCTTCAGTGTTTAAAAACTATGCAAAGTGATAAGTGAAGAAGTAACAATAGTTTTAGCTAGATTATAGATGACTTCCTTTTATGTTTTATCTATGTTCTAATGTTGGATGCAGCAGTTGGAAGAATCGGAGATTGCTAGTGTTAGCCCAGGACTGATGAGGTTCAGGCTCAAATCTCTACTCAGCTGGAAATGAAGTGGGAAATTCTTACCTCTCAGCTTACCTTATTTACAGTATCCCAGTCTTTTCTGTAGAAAGCTTCAGTTTGTTTGTCTTCAGACACCTACTCAAGTTTTCTACCATCTGTATGAGAGTACTTGAAGGAAAAAGAGGAAAAAAAGAGATTGTGTGCCCTAACCACGGATCATCAGCTCAAATTCCAGAGGTTCATATAGATTTCAGTGCTGGGATCCCGAAGTATCTCACATTTTATTGGCCATGAGGAAAACAGAAGTCTTCCATACAATGTGGACTCTAGTACAGATGAGAACCATGGCCATCCCACTGTAGAACTATTAGAAAAAAATATTAGTCAAGAATATAAAAGTTAATAAACATCCAAATAAATTAAATCCATTGCACTCCATTGTCTTGTGCAAGTTATCTTCTAAGGCAGTTTCCATTCCCCACCCAGACTGGAATGAAGATCGGGTTTAAAATTATCCACATTTAAAACTAAACTGATTGAAAACAATCCCTTTTTAAAGAACTGAGCAAAGCAATAAAAGAAGAAGAATTATGATTGTTTGCCATTAACCCTTGTTTTTTTTTTTTGTTTTTTTTTGGGGGGTAAAGCAGAGAACTCATAATTATTTGCTACTGGATGTTCCTGACACTCGAGAACAGCTAGTCCATTATCGGAATGCAGCAGAAACAGCCAGCAGTGAGCTTGCTGCACTCCTAGTGAAGTATGAATGTGCTCAAGCAGAGGTATGTTTTTAAGCCCTCATGAAAATATTTGTAAATAACAGAGTATGTTTATGGCATGGTACGTACCATTAAATGTTTAACTAAAGCTCTCTTCTTTGGTACACTGCTTATTCATTTTAGCTATTGCATCCCGCCTACAGTATGTTTAGAAGTTTTTTTTAACACTTTCAAATTTTCAGTCAGGCATTCTAGAATCATAGATTTGTGAGAATCCAAGAGGTCAACTAATCCATTCCCCTACTTGGCACAGGATCTTTTAAAATATTTTTGGGCAAGTGACTGTTCAGCCTTTCTCTATTCATCCTCCCTCCAATGAAAGGGGTTGTACCACTTCATGAGGCAACCTATTCCACAATTTCTTAGTGTCAGGAAGACCTTAGTAACCAGCCTGGATCTACTTCTCTTATAGTCTTAAACCATTGGTTATAGATCTATCCTCCTCTTTTTATGTGACAACCTTTTAGATATTTGAAGACTTTCCTTCTCTCCCCTTGTCCTGTTCTGCAGGCTAAAAAAAAAAAAAAGGTCTAGTTCCACAGGAATGGGTTTTCAATTCCTTCACCATCTTGGTTGCTCCTTTCTCAACCTGCTCCAGTTTGTCCATAACCCTTTTAGATGTTGCAGATCCCAAAATTGGACACATTCCACGTGGAGTCAGCATAGACTAGAGTGGGACAGCTACTGCTTGTTCCTCTATCATAATAGTCCATTGATTTCCTCCTTTTCATAAGAGTTTGAATTTTACTTGTGTAACACTCAGAAATATTTTGCAAGTTCCTAATCTGTGAAGTTTATAGTTCCTTTCCCTTCTTTGCTTCTTATATATCCTTTATAAACTGCTTCAACAGTGAGATGGGCATATATATTTAATAAATAAAAGTCTACCATGAGCTTCTTCCAATGGCAGATTTGCAATGGCTCTTTCTTTGGTACATAACCAGTACTTAAAGAAAAAAAATGACAAAGTGCTTCAGCAGGTGCCACCGACATGTTTTCCTACTAATAAAGGCGTACAGCTTAACAAGGGTTGCATGTTAGGATTGTTTTATTTGCATGGTTTTACTAAATAATTTTTTAGGACACCAGGTACATTTTTTAAAATGTACAGCTGTGATTGTTTGATTTTAAAAATGAATGGGATGATCCCAAAATCTTGTGGGTAGAACCAAATTAATATTATTTGTGTTTACATGTGTGAGTAAATATTCTACTTAGAATATTTCTGAGATTTCTGGCTAGACAGAAAGATATCCCGATCTGAAAAAAGTATAGGAACGTTAAGCAGCAGCCATTAAAACAGTATTTTAAAGCATTCACAGAAACGAATTCAGCATTCCCAGTTATCAGCTTAAAACAAGTTTCCAGTCCTTCAAACTAAACCAAGAGCTTTACAATATAATTGTGACATCTGAGCTGGCCCTTACTTTCAGATATATTTGTTCTGGTTTGGATAGTTAGTACAGTTTCAGCAGTGACTCTTCTTCCATTTGGTTCTTTTCTGATAGACAAACCTTGTTATGTTCTTGTGCCACAGCCCAATTTTATGCAAGTAATGTCTTCACAACTTCTCTTAGCCTTATACCTAGATACATGGAACTATAGCCAAACAGAGGGACACATTAATATGTCCATCATGTTGAGGAGTAGAATCCTAACCACCACAAAAGTAATACTGCATAAGAAAAGAGTTCTGAAGTTTCTTAAAGAGACGATTTCTGAAAAAACAAGTGCTGCCAAGGGTTGGTTCATTGTCTAGGTTTTTTGTTGTTTGTATGATTTTTGTTTGTGGGAATATATTGAACATTATACTAATTCCTAGATTTACTGCATGAGTCATTAATTGGGAATTATGTATGCAGTTGTTCTTGCCAGACTCTTAATTTATTTAATTAATGTGACAGTCAAAAGCAATTCTCTTCTTTATTTCATTCTGTTAATAGCTCCCAAAATTTCAACATAAGGCAAATGTTTATCATTTGTTTTCAAGCTTTTAAATCTCCCACTTTTGCCAACTTTATTGATTTCTGTAAACAATATATTCATTTATTGCCCAGAATAATGTTTAATTGCTTATGAGTTTGTTTTATCTTTGTTTGAAGTCCCCCTTTTCAATCCACTTCTGAACTGGACTTTGTTCGATAATAATCATTTATATATTTAATTCATTTTAATTATACTTTCTGCAAACAATCCTTATCACTAATTCTTGCCCCCGATCCAGACACTGTAACAAGAGGTAATTCTCAACTCATGACCGATAGTTCAGCAACTATTTGAAGTTTCAAATGCACTGAAAAAAACAATTTATGACTAGGGTCCCGGCATCAAGGCTTTTGCAGCATCCCTACAATCATGTGATCACCTTTGCCCATTTAATCATCTGCATTCTGTGGCCTTTCCCACCATAGTTGACCTTTGTGGTCTACTTTCTCCAACTGCTGACCAAGAAATCCAAGCCTGACCTTTTGCAAGGCATTTGCCAGCTAGTTGAGATTTTCTTCTCAGGGTCTCTGTTTGTGGTTTCCTTGTGAGACCCGGAGAAGACGGCCTCATGTGGCGCCTGCCATTCTCCAAATAGCGCATCCCATTCTTGTGATGCTTTGAAAGACTTCAGAAGCTTTCCAAATGTTTTCTGAAGGACCACAAGAATGTGGTGTGACAGACTCTTTGGAGTGCAGGGCAATAGGATAGCTGGGGTTTTGTACTGTGGTGCTGGAGTGGCTGGTCATGGTGTGATGACACTCCTCAGCAGTGGTGCTAGCTGCACTGCGACTAAAGTAGAGGTGTAAAGTGGAGAACAATTTGTTTTTACCTATTTCCCAAAAGTTAACAATAGCTTTCTTTCTCTTCCTGATTCTTATCTATCTTAATTTTTTAACGAATTGGTTTACCACCCATTCCCAAAGTTTCTAATGATTAACAATAAAAAAATATTAAAAGAATCATTCCGACAAAAAACCCACTCTCCCCAGTTACAATAAATTCTATCAACCATGGGGAAAAAAATGAAATCCTACGTGCTCCAATGCATTCTGCCATTCATAATATCAGTGGTAGGATTCAAACATTTTTACGACCAGTTCTGTGGGTGTGGCTTGGTGGGCATACCGTGGCTTGGTGGGCATGGCAGGAGAAGAATACTGTAAAATCTCCATTCCCACCCACCCCCCACTCCAAGGGAAGGATACTGCAAAATCGCCATTACCCCATTCCAGGGGAAGGATACTGTAATATCTCCATTCCTTCCCCACTCCTGGGGGAAGGTTACTGCTTCCCCACCCCGCTAACCTGCTTTCCAGCTCCGTTCTCCTGTGCAGGGCAACAAAAGAAGACTCAGCTGATCATCTGGGACTCAGGAAGCAGAGAATAGATGGGGGCGGGGCCAGTCAGAGGTGGTATTTGCTGGTTCTCCGATCTACTAAAAATTTCCACTACCAGTTTTCCAGAACTGGTCAGAACCTGCTGAATAACACCTCTGCATCATATGCTTTTCTTTGGACACGGATTTTGTGGGAGGTTTGAGAATACGATTCCTGAAAAAGATTTGAGTAGATTTACAAGAAAAGATAACTCATATAACTTACTTTTCCACTGAGGTTTCTATCAGAATCTGTCTAATATGAAGAGCTACTTTTATAAGAAAATAGTTGTTCAGATTGCTTGTTCTTCTAATATGTATTATCTATTCAGCCAGATAGTTGTGCTCTTTAATCACATATGAAATATTTAAATTAAGTGGAAAATTCAGTTGCTTGAGTAATACACGGGATGCATGTATTGTAGTGCTATTAAATCTGTCTTTGCAAGCAGGATACAGTCAAGTAATAACTTTAGCCCGGTTATATTTTATTTTCTATTTTCTATTTATAGATTCTAGATCTTAAATCCAGAATAGCCTCACAGGAAATCGCTATACAAGAATTCAAAGCTGAAGTTGGGGGCTATAAGGAGAATGATGCTCGCCAATCTTCTCTCCTTTTTTCCATGCAACACAAATTCCAAGAACTTGAGAAGGAATCAGGCACAATTGCTATTTCCAAACATCAAGCAGAGCTAAAATCACAGGCTATTCTCCAAGAGAACTTGGAGCTAAAGGAGAAAATACACGAACAAGAAGAGCAGATCAGGTAAGAACTGCAGAAAACGCTAACTTTTCATGTAAAATAATTGCCATGGAGCAGAAGAAAACGGTACTTGTTAGGATTGTTAAGTGAGGATGGTGGGCTGAAATAGTTGAATTCTTTTATATTAAAAACTAAGCCCTAAGTTTCAATGTTTCTATATTTTTTAAAAATAAATTGGAAATACGTGTGTGTGTGTGCGTAGAGGTTGGTAGGTAGGATGCTATTTGAAATTTCTTCTGAGAAAGTATTGTGTGTATTTTATATTTGTAACTCCTCAAGTCTTCAGAATCACACAAGAGAAATTTTGAAACAAACTGAAACTTGAGTTTCAATCCAGGTCATAAAAACAAAAACCCAAAACCATTTGGATTTTCTTTGTTTCTCTGATGGCTGTGGGAGATATCTCATTACCGAGGAAAGGAAGTATTTTATTGTGATATAAAAGTCTTTCTCGAGGCACTGTATGTTGTGTCATGAGCACCTGTTTAGTATTAGTTACATTTCTGATGTAAGGTACAAGATTTAGGTTTGGAGATCTTTACTTAACTTCTTTGGATCATGAATAGTCTCCTATTGTCCTTCTCAGGGTTTTTAAAATGGAAAATTTGGAACTATTTACAGTCATGAGAAACCTAGATGGAGGGGGCAAATAAAAAGGGGTTTGAGAAGAGTAGGAAACTCCCATTTCCTCATTGTTATGTTGAGGTCAGTATGTAACTGACTCCTCCTTGCAGTGGTTCAGTCTTTTCTCACACCTCATTAATTTGTGTGCTTGAGAATCCCACAGAGGGCATTTTAATTTTTTTGAATGACACCTGCCTCCTGGGGAATTCTTGAAGTCAAAGTCCACACCTTAAAGTTGACAAGTGTTTGGGAAACACTGCTCTAGCAATGCAATCTTGCCTCTCTGAAATTATCGAAATTATCCTGAATCTTTAGACCAGCCCAACCCATTGGAGAAAATTGTTGGCTCATGAACTTGTAAGAATAGCATTTGATTCTTTGATTCTTTCCTTTTTTAACTTAGTGTCCCCTTCTCTCTCTCTCTAACACATCCAGTTAGGGGGACTAAGTATCTCACAAGGAGATAGTCTGATGGCCTACTCATTGTCTGTCGAATTAAAGATAGGGATTTGATTATGCTATGCAGAAAAACAATTCCAATCAAAGCAGCTGCTTTCATTCCTCAATGAAATGGGCAGTTATTTCAGCAGTAAACCCATAGAGGAAGTGATTTTCTCGTCCCGAACCTGGGCAAAGACAAAACTACTTTTATCCTCCCCTTCCCAGTCAGGGAAGTTATTGGATATGAAATCACACCTCGGTAATCCTTGCAGATCTGATTGCACATGGTGAGATCAGTAAAGGAAGCACATATAACACCACTGTTGCATTGGCTACCAGTTTGCTTCCCAGTCCAATTCAAGGTGTTGGTTATTACCATTAAATCCTATATGGCATGGGTCCATGTATCTGAGGAACCATCTACCCCAATGGGACTTGTCCACCCCACATACATCAGCAGAGGCCAACTACAGATCCCATCTGCTAAGGAATTCTGGCAGGCGGGGTCAAGGAGACAAGCCTTTTCTGATGTGGCCCCATCCCCGTGGAACACTCTACCACCAGAGCTGAAAACTGCTCCCACCTTTTGGGCTTCCAGAAGGGTATTAAAACTTGGTTTTGCTAATTGGCTTAAGGCTCTGGGGGGATGTTTACCACTGCAAGTGGTTGATAGGGTAAGAAGACCTCATCCCTGTGCTATCTGTCTCTTATTCCTGGTTTCTTTTGTATGGTTTTAAATTTTATTATGATAAATTAAATCCGTGGGTCACCTAGAGACATAGGGGAGATGGGTGGCATAAAATGAAATAGATAGATGGATAGATGGATGGATGATAAAGATAGATAGATGACAGATAGATAGATACTATAGATAGATGGGTGGATGGAGGGAGGGAGGGATGATAGATATGGGTATGTGTTCTTAAACATGAGAAAAGGGGTAGAAGTAATCAATGATCAGTTCCAGGACGAAGGTCACACCAGAAGACCTATCAAGGATATAGTTGTCCGGGAAGATTCGGAGAAGTACAAGAGCCTTCTAGTAAATCTAAGTGTATTTCACACACCCTCCCCCAGAAAGGAAAAGAAGAGTCCAGGTTTTTCTTCTGAATCCGAAATAATTGTGGGTCTATTTTTCTTGTACACCTAGCAAGTCCAAAAGTCTGCCTCCAAAGAAATCTAAGGATGACCAGAAAAATACAAATCTGTAAAAAGTCAGGGATCGTCCTCTTCATTATTTTCATGCACAGGAGGTCTCATCAACTCTGATTTAAAATTGCATTGCAGTTTGGTGGCCATACAAGAGGAAGGAATCAACCTCTAATTAATCTTACCTTTTCCGTGCCATTTTTTTTTGTAATTTTGCTGAATAGTTACAGTCCTTATGTGTGTCAAGCAAGCCTGAGCTGGGGGGGTGGGGTGGGGTGGAGATCCATATGCTTAACCAAGAGTTCAGGAGGTTCCCTGGGGCAGTGAGATGTCCCTTTTCCTGGATCATTTGACAAAAGTGTTGAAACTAAATGGGCAATGCTTGCTCAAAACAAATTAATATATAGGCTGACTAACATGGTTTACTTCCTGTGTATAACAAAGTCATGGAGCTTTCAAGTTGTACTGGTAGATGTTCTGGAGTTGCTATTTCTTGCAGAAATCTATGCAAGCAAGATGAGGAAGTCCAAAACAGTTTCATTTAGGGTCTTTTAGACTTTAGGAATCTTCTGCTTTATGCAGAAAATTCCAGACTTCAAGGAGAGACTGTGTTGTATCAACTTCAAATGGGCTTATGTAAGGGCAGAAAAATCTACAAGCCTGCAGCCTAAACCAGTGCGCTCACAAATATTTCTTATGCAAAATCCCTTAAGGTTGATTCTTTGATATTATTTAATTTGGCAAAATGGCTGCTAACACTCTGACCAGAAGTTGTGTTTGGCTGAGGAACTGTGAAATAAACCCCTATTTATAGACTAGATTAGCAAATGCTTCCTTTATGGAAACTTTTCAATGCGTTTTTGAATATAGTGCACATTGAGGCAACAGCTTGTTGAGGCTGTACTCCCATCCAGAATATAGAATTACAAGTCCAGATTCTCTCAAACTGTTAATTCCTTATGGGATCAAACGTCTGGATAATTCTAGAACAAGGCAAAATTCAAGAATTATAGTCAAAGCCTCTGCTCCTCCTCTGCTTATGTTTTGAAATGCACTAAGATATACAACTCTGTATGATGCCAAAGCAGTCCATGGAGCAATAAGCAACTTTCTCCTAGACTTTGCACACATTTAGCTGCAAATAATTTAAAATCAGTGGGTAGAAGATACAAATGGAAAGGGCCATTCACTGGAATTTGTTCTCCAGCTGCCAGACTTCTCCAATCAAGTTTCTGGAGTAAATCACAGATCTCTGCTACTTGATTTGGCAGATGCTTCACAAACACAGCTTATTTAGATAAGAATTATTACTGCAGACAAGAGCTGAGCCAAGTAAAAATACTTGATTGTCTACCGTCAGTTTGCCAGTTCCCCTGGTATCTATGAAAGTTGAAACCCTTAGTTCTTTTCTCCCCATAAATTAGTGGACCCTTGGGACAATGCTTGGTGGCCTTGAAGCTGCCAGTTGTGTTTATAACTGATGTAAGAACTCCTGGCTCTTGGCTTGACACTCCATCATCTTGCCTGCCATTTCTTTCTTCCTGTCTCAAAACATGTCTGGGAATACTTGGTGCTTGTTCCCTCTCCAACTTCAACCAGCCAGAATGGAGCGTTTTCTCTCTCCTTGTCACCATGGCCTAATTGTGAAAACCTCAACACTTTCAAAATTCTCTATCCAACATGTTTGGGTGTTGCTTTCCCTGTTTCCCTCCTCAGTTACATAAACTTTCTCCTCTCCCTGTCGCCCTTGCGCCAGAAGTTCTAGGAGCTGTAAAAACATCATGGTATGGACATTCCAGTTTCTTGGAAATAGAAACTGGTATTCTTGGTATTTGTGAAAATACCTTGAATGGAACTGCCAACAGATGTTAAGCCATATTGTAGCAGCACTGTTCTTGTTTTGGGTTTATCATGTTTCTAGTGGACGTTTGATAAAAATAGGATCACCAACATGATTGCCAACGTCTGATGACGAATATAGCACAACAAGAAGAAGACTGTTCCTGTGGCTCCATGATCCTGAATACGTTGTCCATTCTGACCCATCTCAGCAGAAAACTTTGCCTCACACCTCCCCAGGCTATTTCAGCTGGGAGACTCTGGAAGCAGGAAGATAGATTCCTAGATTCACCAATTATTTGTACTTAGTAACAAGGCTTGTATTGATAACCTTCCAAATCAACATAGCCTTTTCCTTAGGAACAAGAAGTAGAATTTCAACCCATCAGCCAGCTGTACATTCTTCTTGCTTGAGGGAAGAGTTACTGAATCTCTTCTACCATAGCAGGCCAGATGGACTTTGGGTTTATTTAAACCACAGGATTTTGGTGGTCTCTTGTCTGAGTAGATATCACATCCACTTCCCTCCTAGTCATTTCTGCTGCTCTGTCAAGCATTTACCAACCAAATCAACTGATCTGTTGCAACTCCTCTTCTCCCCGGAGGGCCTTACAATACCATTTAACTTTCCCCCTCATCTTCCATCAGTCAACAGTCTAGACACATTGTTGTCATGCATCCCATTTTAAAGATTGCTTATTTCATTCCATTCTGAGACCAGCTTCTAGATCAGAGAGAGCTTTCTTCTGCATTAGCCATGTTTACCAGCACTGAGGGATGTCCTTCATCTTGTTCTGAATGTAGATGCTGTATGTTTTTTTTTTTTAAAAAAAAACAAGTTTTATTCAGTTTTTCACATTTTAACATCTCTTTTTAGTGAACAGCATGATTACAGGTTTCACATATACATACAAATATGACCATGGTTACATATTCAGTTTTTATATCCA